TCTTTCTTCATTTTTTAGCTTTATAGCTTGATTTAAAATCGAACTCATTCCGTTTTTAAACTGTGACGTCATTTTATTATTTACATCTAATTCTATTTTTCACTTCATCATTCTCTCTTTTTCGCCCCCCTCTCTCTCTCTAGGTTGTCATTTATTTCTTACTCTCTCTCTCTTTTTCATCACTATCTTCAACCAAAGCAAGATGTCTTTCGTTATGTCCATCTGATTGGCTGCCAAGATAATTATGTGCGATCGTTATCAGCATCATCATCGTCGTCGTCATCATCACCGTTTCTTCATTATCATCACCTTGCTAACATCATCACTATTACGTTATAATCATCATTATCGTCATCATTCTTCCGTAATCATCAAGTCATAATTGTAGTTTATCATCTTCACATCATCGTCATCATAATAATAATAATAATATAAATAATAATAATAATTAAAATAACATTAATAATGATCACCATTATCATCACCGCCACCATCATCTTCATTAAATTTTTTATTTCTCGGAGCTACACCAAGAACGTTTTTGGCAACCTTTCTCTGCCTTCTTCTCATCGTCGTCGTCATAATCGCGACCACACCATCGTCGTCATAATCGCGACCACACCATCGTCGTCATAATCGCGTCCTCATCATCGTCATAATCGCGACCACACCATCGTCGTCATAATCGCGACCACACCATCGTCGTCATAATCGCGTCCTCATCATCGTCATAATCACGTCATAAATCTTCATTGCGGCTTACTGCCTGCATCTCCCGGTGCTTTATCATCAGTGACGTCACGTCTGCGTCATTACCATCACCAGCATCATCGTCGTCGTCATCATCGCCATGATCATCAGTTCTACTAACATTACCAACATCATCGCGACATTCTTGCTCTTTATCGCTACCTGTCATCTCTGTATTATCATTATCGCTACGGATATATCCTTCAAACAAAACAACAACTTACTATTACTATTATTACCTACACAGAAAAAATCTCGTATCGTTAAAGCCAAAGGTTACCGATTTCGATTCCGTCTCCAGATTCGCAGAAAACGAACTTCGAAAAATATTTTTCAAATCCTTAACACTCTCCGGAGTACCTACAATAAAAATATCCCACTCGGAGTAGGATGAAAAATATCCGGTTCCGACTCTCCAAAAAAATCCCGACATTCCGGTTATAGCTATAAACAAGAACATCGAAAACAACAACAACAGCAACAATAATAATAATAATAACTATAATAATAATAATAATTATTATTATAATAATATTTATTTTTGTAACGCTAACAATAAGAAAAATTACAATAAAAAATTTGAATAAAAAATAGTAATAAAGATATTAAATTTATGTTGTAACGAGTCCTTTCTTTCAAATCAAACTTCCATTAAACCTTTTAATCTGGCTCTAAAATGAAAATAATAATAATAATAATTAATAATAATAATAAATAATTAATAATAATAAATAATTAATAATAATAAGTACTTTTTATCGTCGTCAATATTAATCATTTTCTTGATAGCTTCGCTGATCAAATTGTTGACCTCAGTAAAACCAAACTCTGACATGTAGGATAGTATTTCCTGATTGGTTGGTTGATTTGTTGGTTGATTGGTTGGTTGATTTGTTGGTTGATTGATTGGTTGATTTGTTAATAGCTAATTGATTGGTTAATAACTGATTGATTGATTGATTGATTAATTGATTGAATGATGACTAGTTGATCGATTTACATAAGAGTGAATAATTGATTTATTAAGTGCTTGAATGACCGAATTAATAGTTGAATGAATGATTGAATGAATGGCTGAATGAATGGTTGAATGAATGATTGAATGAATGATTGAATGAATGGTTGAATGAATTTTTTTTTGTGTTACTTACGTAAACTTTCTCATAGTCATTTTCTTTTATGAAAACACTGCAGAGACTCGTTAGAGATTTCTCACTTTTAAAAATAAATGAATGAATGAATAAAAGAATGTATGAATGAATGAATGAATGAATGAATGAATGAATGAATGAATGAAAGAGTGAGTGAATGTATAGATAAACAAATAAGCAAATGAATGAATGAGTGAATTAAAGGACAAAATGGTTGAAAAAATGAATTAGAGAGAAAAAAAGCCAGTGAACGAGGTACTGTATTAGTGAGATGAAGACTGGATGGAAGAATTATCAAAAATATTAGCAAATGAATGAATGGATACGTGATTGAAAGAAGGAACTAATAATTAGAAGAATGAATGAATAATTTAAATATAAGTTAAAGCTGTAAATCTTTATAAATAAATCAATAATTAATTAGACAACCTTATAAAAGTTGATAAACTGTGTTTGCTATCTCTGTGAAGCTCAAATACATTCCTTGAAAAGAGTGCATGAATGAATGAATGAATGAATAATGAATGAATAAAAGAATGAATAGGTGAGTAAATTAATAAACAAATGAATGAATAAATGAAGAAAATGTATAACTTTAATTGAATGAATAAATCATGCACCGATATTTTTTTCATAAAATACGAACACAATATTTCGGTAATTTACCATCCACTCATTCATTCATTCATTCATTCATTCATTCCTTCCTTCCTTCCTTCCTTCCTTCCTTCATTCATTCATTCGTTCGTTCGTTCGTTCGTTCCTCACCAAGCTTCAACATGTTGGCCAGCATTCAGCGTGATACATATCATGTTGTTGATCATGACATTGCTCAGTCTGTGAATGTTAATTGGAGATTGGATGAATGAATGAATGAAGGAATGAACGAACGAACGAATGAATGAATGAACGAATAAAAGTTAACCAACTGAAAGGGTTTCTTAGAACTGGACTCCTTCTCTTCTTTGTAATGTTCAATGATGCTTCTGACGATCCCGACGAACGCCATCTGGCTCAGTCGGCAGAGCACGTGATATAAAATCATCATTATCATCACTTCATCGTCATCATCATAACTTCTTCATCATCATCGCCGTCAGTAGATCATCATTAACATCATAATCACAACAACAACAACAAAACTACCATCACAATCACTGCCACCACCATCACCGTCATCATCATCATCACTTCTTCTTCATCATCATCATCATCATCATCACCTTGTCATCTGAATCGTCACGTGGTACGTTGGCTGCAACTTCTAGAAGTTTCTCTACAAGCTCAGAACGTTTCGTGTACTTGAACATGAGAATATCTGGGGTTATGATGATGATGATGGCGGTGATGATGATGATGATGACGGTGACGATGATGATGAAGATATCATCATTGTCGCATTACACACACAACTCCGAAATCACTAAAATTCATGAATATCATCATCACCACCACCATCATCATCATCATCATCAATAACATCATTATCATCACCAGTAACACCATTATCATCATCCTCACCGTTCCATATCTTAGGCAAATGTTGATAACCGGCCTGTCTTTCTATGGCAGTCAAGATACAATCCAAGACTTTGTATGTTGGTGTATACGACTGTATGTGTGTACGTATGTGTATGTATTTATGCGTGTGTGTGTGTGTATGTTTGTATGTATATGTGTGTGTTTTTTGTTTGCTTGTAGGTATGTGTATATTAATTTTCAATAAAAGACATCTTACGTGTGGAATGAGTTTATTATAGTTCTCCATTATTGAATCCAGGGTTCCATAGTAACAGAGTGATATCAGCATGTTCGTACTGTATGTGTTTGTACATGTATGTTTGTATGTGTGCTTGTATGTGTGTGTGTTTGTTAATGGTTGTACGTTTATGTTTGTTTATATGTCTATACTTGAATGAATGAATGAGTGTATAGATAAGTCAATTTGTGAATGTTTGAATCAACAAACCAATCAACGAAGCAAAAAACGAATTAGCCAATCAGCTGACAGCGAGTCAACCAACCAACCAGCCAGACAGCCAGCCAATCAGCTCTACTAACTAGTAATGTGAAGTCTGCTTATTATCGCCCAGCATATGTTCCCAGCCCCTCTCGACAACCAGATCGTTAATCCTCAAGGCCAGATTGCAACTCCTAAGGCATCTGAGACACTGATTAATCATCGTTATCATCATTATCGTCATTGTCATCATCATCATCATCATCATCATCATTTTAAACAAACTTTTGCCATGGCAGTGCTGAAGAATTGATCTGGATTTTAAAAAAGATGATAATGAGTGATAACATTTCATCATCAACAACAACAACAGGATCACAATCATCACCATCATCATCACATCACCGCCAACATCATCATCATCATCATCATAATCGCCAGCGTCACCAACAACCGCAGCAGCAACAAAAACGTACAGTCTGTTGCTTCCGTTACTTCAACATTGGATTGTGATAACTCGTCAACTATATCATGCAGAAGTCTGTGGCGTGCTGATGACGATGATGGTGATGACGACGATGATGATGATTACGATGATGATTACGATTACGATGATGATGACGATGATGATGACGATGATGATGACAGCAATACTCACTTGGTAGGCTGTAGACGATTTGGATGACGTAATACCAAGTCGTTAATGATGGTTCTATGAATGAATGAATGAACAAATAAAAGAATGAATGAATGGATTGAATGAATGAATGAAGGAATGAATGAATTAATGAATGAATGAATGAAAGAATGAATGAATGAATGAAGTAATGAATTAATGAGTGAATGAATGAATGAATGAACGAACGAACGAACGAATGAACGAACGAACAAACAAACCTATGCCGCACTTCTTCATCTCGTTGATGGTAGCAAAGGCGTAAGAATTAGCTGACCTATCGCTAACACCAACGACATCAGCAAGAACATCTTTACTGTCTTGGTTTCTGCTGTCGGCCATTTTGTTTTTGTTGTCGGCCATTTTGTTTTTGTTGTTGTCAACAAATGTTGCAATCGTGGCGAGAATTGTGTTGAATGTTTTCAAGTTGGGTGCCGTCTTCGAGGCGTTCATCTCTCTCAATATCTCCTTCATTGATCGAGGATGGATGGATGGATGGATGAATGAATAAATGGGTAGATGGATGAATGAATGAATGGATGGATAGATGATTGAGTAAACAAATGAATGCACTCACTCACTCATGCAATCAAGTAACCCGAATCATTCAATTACAACAGAAAGGAAACAATTGCACGTAGCACCATGCATGCAGACACACAAACACATATATACACATACAAACACACACATATAAACACATACAAACACAAACATACATGCACATACAAACAAACAAACATACACAAACACACACATACAAACAAACAAACACATACAAACACACACACACAAACACACAGACATACCAGCGTATAATTCCAAGCTTCATTTAAATTATGCCTAACAAATGGAATAGCCGTTAATATAGCATTGTACGTTCCGACATCAACTGGTAGTGATAATGATGATGATGATGCAGATGATGATGATGATGATGTTGTTGTTGATGATGATGAGGGTGATGACGAAAGACAAAAACGATGATGAAAAAAAAATAATAAAAAATTTTTATTTATGGTAAAATCAACTGTATTAAATAATGATAATGATGATGATGACGATGATGATAATGATAACGACGACGATGATGATGATGATGGGTGATATTGATAATGATAGTACTAATGAAAGCTGATACGTACATTCGACACCTTTATCTTTGTAATTCATGTACTCTTCCAAGCCAGACTCCACTGAGAAGTACTGTTTAATTATGGAAAATAAATATTAATTAAAAATAAAATAATAATAATGATTAATATTATTGTTATATAATAATAAAAATTATTATTATTATATAATCGTAACAATTATTATTATTATATAATAATAATAATTATTATTATTATTACGATAAAAAAATGTTACCTTAATCCTGCCTTTGATAATACTGCATACGTTTCTAGGCGATTTCTCACTAATCTCTCTGTAAACATTCTCAGCTGGGCCTTCATCTCTGCATAAATTAACATAAATTAGCATAATTTATTATAATTATCCTGCCATATTGTAACCACCACCACCACCACCATCAACGCAGCAATCAGCAGCAGCATCACCAACAAGACTAACTTCCAAATTTCATCAATGTGTCTATTAGTCGAACCGCTGCCATCATCATCATCACCGACGCGGTCACTAGTAGCAGCACTATTACCATCACCACCGCCGGCCCCCTCTTCTTGTTCGCTCACAAATTCACTTTTAAAATGCCTAATTTCCGGATCTAGAGGCGCTTTTAAGGGCTGGGAGTTAGTGAAACATAGCAGATCAAGCAGATCATCTATGATTGGCCTGGGAAGTTCGTTACCTAGTGACGTCACAAAGATATATATGATATATATATACATATATATATAATAATCATCATCATCATCATCCATATTCACATCACCATCATCACCATTGTCGAGATTTTTCATATAAGAATCATAGGCCCCAAGTGGCTCTCTTCTTTCAATTCTTTCCTTCAATCCATCCACTGATTCAGGAGCCGATGCTGGTGGTTCGATAGGCATGTAATCCTATACGTATATGCATGTATAATAATAATCAGAAAAATAATAAAAAGAATAACAATATTATAATTATGATGATAATATTTCATTATAATTTCATTACTTTGATGTGGTGATCGGCTGGGGCATATTTAAAAAGATTAGGATAGCGTTTCATGACGTATCTAGCCGCTTCTCGACCGGAGGCCATAGACAAACTGTACATTTTCTTGTTTATGGTGTGTATTATTATTATTAATTATTATTATTATATTATTATAATTAATGTGACATTTTCTTCATTTGAATATTTAACCGATAATAACTTTTATTTACCTTATCAACCCCAGTGTATGGCAATAGGTAAGGATCATCTATATACTGATACGATGGCGCTTCGTAGTCCTTTGTCATAGTTTGCATTCATAATTTATTTATTTATAAAAATAAATAAAAATAATAATAATAATAATGATAATAATAACTAATAATAATGAAAACATTCTGGCACACACACACACACACACAGACAACCACACTTACATAAATATACTTATTTTCATATTATGCTTTATTAATATTATTATATGTAAAAATGTATGAATGTGTATGTATGTATGTGTGTGTGTAACAATTGTAACATTATTATTTATTTATTATTTATTATTATTATTATACTTTTCTAGTCACAGAAGCCAATGCTTTGATTATTGACAAGTTATCTCTGAAATGAAAATGAAGAAATAAAAAATTTGAAAAGAGTTTATTAAAAAATATATAAAAAAAAAAATAAATAATAGATAAATAATAATGAAAATATAGTTTATTTATATTTTATACATATGCAACAGGCAACCTTTTAACTTTTTTTGGTATGACGATGTTTCCAATTGTTTTGAATCTAAAATAAATTATAAATGTTAATAATTAACATTGTAAAATATTGTATATCTACACAATAATTAATTAAATAAATAATTTAATTTAACAAATTAATTTTTATTCCAATTATTAATTGAATTAAAAAGTAAATATCTTTCTTAAAAAGTTTACGGTCTGTTGTTACAAAAAATATTGATAGAATTGATATAAATAAGGTCAGAAAAATAAAGTAAAATTTTAAAGCTGAGCTGAAATCATCCAGCAATAAACAGTGAAGATGACCTGGTTCAAATTTACACAAAGGATAAAAAGCCTCATTGAATGTGATTCTATTCATTTCTTAAATAAGATGCATTGTAAGTGCATTTTACGCACAAATTACAAACGCAGTGATTGACCAATTGATTGAATGCAGTTTTTTTTTCTTTTTTTTTAGAGTTAAAAGGGGAAAAAGGATAAATGAGGGAAACTGTGAATCAGCGGCCAACATGACATGTAAGGATAAAACACTAAAATAGATAAATACCTGCAAATTATTTTGTTAATTTGAACGATTCGATTTAATTTTGAAATGTTCATCGCTCTAATTTGAATTATCTAATAGTTTTTTTAATTTATGTTTTTGAGAAATAACACTGAATTGTTGAGAGTTTTGCGTTTACTTTTAAGCATACTAAAAGTAAATTCAACCTTTATTAAAGATGTTAACCAATTTAAGATGTCAACAATTTGAGTCGGATTATTTGGGTTGCTTGGTTTATTGGTTTACTTACGAAATTGCATGGATTTCAACAAACAGCTAATACATAATATTTACTTGATTAAATATTTTTAAAACAAATAATTAAATCAAATTATGTAATTTGAAATCATTTTGGCCAATTTAAATGAAAATATTGTTTTTTGTTTCTAAAATCTCAATTTGATTTCATTGCGATATCGATGATGATGATTGTGACTAATTAAAAAACATCAAATAAAACTTATAAAATGGGATGGGTAGTTCGTAGCGAAATCGTTTGAGGAAATGACGTCATGTTAACAGCAGTTATTTAACTGCCTAGTAGTGAATTAGTCCGTATAAAGGTTTTATTCGATTCCTATCAAATAAATTTTATCAATAATAGATAGATAAACATATATAGCTAATTTTACCTTTATATTGTTATATTTATACATTCAAATTGTATAATTGTGTTGTCTCAAACTATTTTGAATTCTTTCAGAAAAATTTAAACTGCGTGCGTACATACGTAAAATTAATTACTGTTGGTTGATGGATTTATATAATGTCAGAAAGTTTTGAAGGATCGTTCGTTAACATCAGTTTAGCTTGATTAGCATTGTTGTTGTTATTTTTGTTTAACTCTTCATTTTCTCATTTCTCTCATAATACTTGACAACATTCACACATACGCAATCACATACACAATCACGTATATAATGTTTTTGATTTGACAAAAATACCATAGGAACCGACCTTGACATTTAAAAATTTTTTAATTTTGTTTCATGCACACAAACATTCGCACATACATACATGCTAACATGCTCACATGCATAAACATGATGTTTTTGATTAAGCAAAAACATATCAAAGAAACCGACCTTGACATTTTAAAAAAATTTAAATTAAATTTCTTGCAAAATCGATGATGATTATGATTCTACCAGAACATCGCGCTACTGTTAATCATTTTACAAAAACATATCAAATATAGTAGATCAAACCAGCCGATCAGAATTTCTTTTTTTGTCGTTGGAAAAATGACGTCATTTTAACTGTAGTTATTTAACTGTACTAAGTGAATTAGCAAGTATAATCAATATATTCGATTCCTACCAAAATTTTGTTACAAAATATTATATGCACTCAAAACTAACTAAATAAATAGATATATTTACTTATTGTATAAATTTATATTCAAGTTTTACAATTGACGTTAAGTAAGGCGTGGTTTCCATGGTGGTTTCACATTTACTTGATGGCCATCAAAAAATTCAAATTTCGTGCGTACATTAAATGTTTGGATGAATGTGTGGTTGGTTGAACATTAGAATTTATTCGTTGTGTATTTAGTTGATTTGATTGATTGATTAATTGAATGGATAGTTAATTAATAGTACAGTATTAAACAGTATTTCATGGTACTGTATATATGCAAAAAAGAGTGACTATAGTTCAATCCTCGTAATCCTCGTAAACCTCGCAACCGATTTCGTAAGTAAGCCGATAAGCCAACAGTACAAGCAAGTCAAATAGCCCGACTCAAAAAACTTCAAGTAAAAAAATCATCTTTTGATGTTATGAGTATAATAATTATGTTGTAATTATTTCATGTAACAATTAACTTTTGACGCAATTCAGTTTGAAAACCATATGACTATGTGATCAGCTGATTTCAAATTTGATTCGAACCCGGATAGAATTATTTCTGCGGTTTTATTCTAATTTTCTGAAAAAAATATTTTATTATATTATCAAATAATGAAAATTATTATTTTTCTGTGTAAGTAGTTTGAATTAATTGAAGTGTTTTTTGCATTTCGAAATGTTTTTCGCTAATTATCGTGTTCTTAGCTCACAGCACTTAGCTTTAGTTACGATTTATTGTTAAAATTAAAAAATCAATTAATCACTACCCAATCTACATTCTGGGTGAAGTTTAGTCAATCTTCGCCTGCTATTTTTTACGTTTATAATCTTTATATCACCTATCTAATTACTCTCCTCCTAATCACAGTAGTATTAATATTAAATGAAATAAAAATTTTTAAATTATTAATTTTTATGAAATCTCAATCCAACAGTTTTTGCAGTATTCACTAACTTCCACCTAACGACAACAGCAACAACAACAACAATCTGGCCCGATTGTTACTATGTTGAAGGTGTTCTTCGGCTGCCTTACGCAGAAATTAACGAACCATTCTATGGCTGGTTCGAAAGCAAGAGAAGCCGAAGCAGGGTTGATTACTATGGTGCGTGTTTTTTATGATATGAAACTTAAGTTTATTTTTTAAAATTATAATTTTTTAATGGTTCCTCTCAGAAAATTGATAATACCTTATAATTCATAATTTTTTTTCCTAGATTCAGTCCAAACTTATCAGCTAGGTGGCGAAACTTCAGGTGATTATGGTGTTAATTTAAAAGTCGCCCCCATGACAACTGAGGAATTGCTGAATGTAAAACAATGCTTCCAACTTAATGGCACCGAGGCAAGCCCTGTAGAACCACAAAGTCTGCTGCCTAATTTGGAAGGGTTCAAGGTCGTTTGTAATGACTATTATTATTATATGTATTCATAACGTATATATAATACAAAGAAAACTATTTGTAGAACGTTGGGGAAGAAATTATGTACGGAATCAAATGCACAGTTTGGAGAAACGTAACCAGAGAAAGTGGGAAGAAGAACACGTACACATTCTATCAAAATTCCGAAACATCTGCCCCAGTTCGATACGAGATGACAGGATACGATACCTTGCTAATATCTCATTACGATAGATACTATATCGATTACGTTCACTTTACTGCCAGGAAGTCATTTCCCGATAGGATCTTTACCATTAAAAATAGTTAGTATCTGAGAGTAATAATAAATTTTAACAAAAACAACAACAATAATATAATAACAACAACATTGTTAGTAACATTAGCCACAGGCGAAAAGAGCATTAATCAAAAGCTAATTAAAAAGTTAATTAATAGCACAATATATTTTTAAATAGATCTGACTTGTTCCGGATTTCCGGGCCCGGGTTTTTCCGGCGGCCAGCATCATCACGTGACCATGAATCCAATCCGGGAGTTTATCCACAACGACGTCGGATACGTCGATCAGGAATTCAAGGACTTTCGGAAACGCCATGGGAAGAATTACGGAGGTGAGGCTGGAGAAGAGGACAAGGTCTTGGAGAGGAAGAAAAATTTTCATCAAAATTTCAGGTTTTTTGGATTATAAAATTTACAATAATAATAATTATAGTTATTATTATAATAGTAGTAATAATAATATTTGTAATAATAATAATCATCATTATCATCATTCCTAATCCATAATTTAGGTTCGTGCAATCACAAAACAGGAAAAATCTCGGTTACACTATGAAACTTAATCACCTAGCTGACTATTCGGACGATGAGTTGAGATTGCTGATGGGCAAAAAAGTGAACAATAACGATAAATTAACTTTTAAACGTAATGGTGGATTAAGTTTTAATGAATCCAACTTCTCCGACGTCTCCCCACCACCTGACCATTGGGATTGGAGATTTCTAGGTTGATGAGAGTTTCTGGGTTTAGTGTATTAGTTTGTTATCGGCAAATCTTTCAAGTGTTTTAATCATCACCGTCATTACCGCTACAACCATCATCATTCCATCATCATCATCATCGTTGTAATCATCATCAGGAGCAGTAACACCAGTGAAAGACCAGGCGGTTTGTGGTTCGTGTTGGTCGTTCGGTACGACTGGCTGTCTAGAAGGGGCCCATTTTTTGAAAGTTTGTTGTTGCTGTTGATGTTGTTGTTGTTGTAGTAGTAATAGTTGTGGCTGCTGCTGTTGATGTTGTTGTTGTAGTGGTAATAGTTGTTGCTGCTGCTGTTGATGTTGTCGTCGTTGTTGTTGTAGTCGTTGTTGTTGTTGTTGCAACTTAATACAACTTTTTGTCGCCAAAATAATATTTATAATAAAAAATTATTATAACTAATTGCTATAGACAAAGGAACTGGTGAGGCTTTCCCAACAAGAGTTGATTGACTGCAGCTGGGGCGAAGGTAGTAATTGTAACATTGCAATCATCGTCATCTACGTCATAATAATAATAATAATAATAATAATAATAATAATAATAATAATAATAATGATGATGATGATGATGATGATGATAATGAGAACGATCTTTTATTCAGCAATGAAAAAATTGAAAATTACAGTACAAGTAAAATAAAATAATGAAATAAAATAAAGTGTCAAATATAATAGAGTATTAATCTGAGAAGATCATCGTTCGAATCGAGAGAGGAGAGTAAGACCAGAGTTAATTAGTTTTAAAATTGATTTATTTCACATTTCTGTCGCAATAGACAGCGTATGATGATGATGATATGGCAGATTTTATAAGGTTATTGCAAAAATAATCAGTCCAAATAATATTTATTAGCAAAAGATCGAATGTTTTAAAGAGACCTAGGGTAGATATTTCAAATGTATTTATTGTTATTTTTAAATATTTTTCTACACTACAGTTTTGTTTATTGTTGATAATAATAATAATAATAATCTTCTTTCCCATCATCATCATCTTCTTCTTTCCCATCATAATCATCATCATCATCATCATCATCATGAAGGCAACAACGGGTGTGATGGTGGAGAGGATTTCAGGGCCTACCAGTGGGTCATGAAGCACGGGCTGGCCTCAGAGGAGGATTACGGGACCTATATGGGACAGGTCTGTCATGATGATGATGATGATGGTGATGATGATGATGATGATGAATATGAAGATGATGAGGGTGATGATGATGATGAATATGAGGGTGGTAATGATGATGAGGAGAATGAATATGAGGGTGGTGATGATGATGATAATGATGAATATGAGGGTGGTGATGATGATGATAATGATGAATATGAGGGTGGTGATGATGATGATGAATATGAGGGTGATGATGATGATGATGAATATGAGGGTGGTTAGATGATGATGATAACGATGATGATGATGATGATAATAGAGGTAGTAATGATAATGATGATGATGAGGAGGAGGAGGACGAAAGAAATGACGAGGACAGAGATGAAAAATGATAGACCCCCTTTCTTTTGTAACGATCGTTAGGACGGCTACTGCAAAATGAAAACAGTCCCACCGACGGCCGCTATGTTGAATTACGTCACCGTGACCCCTGGGAATGCCACGGCCCTAAAACAGGCCATGGTGAGGTACGGGCCCATCTCCGTGGGGATAGATGCCGCCCACAAAAGTTTCGTCTTCTATAGTAGCGGGGTCTATTATGAACCGGCCTGCGGTTGGTTGTGACAATGACGATGTTGATGATGATGATGCTGATGATGGTGTTGATGATGATGATGACGATGTTGATGATGATGATGATGATGATGATGATGTTGCTAATGATGATGATGATAATGATGATGATGATGTTGATAATGATCATCATCATCATTTCTTCACCAGGAAACACACTCGAAAGCATAGATCATGCGGTTCTAGCTGTTGGTTATGGAACGCTAAACGGTTATTTATACGTTCATTTGTGCACACAAACATATACCAACATACATACATATATACATACGTACATACATACGTACATACATTAAAACATATATAAATACATACACCATACACACATACAGAACTGTATGTTTTGTTAAAAAATAAAAAAATTTAATAAAACATTAACAATTATATCCACATGATATATTACAAATAGATAACTATGCATATCTACATACAACAAATATGAATAAATTAAAAATTAAACCCCGCCCCCTTTTTTTAAACAGGCGAAGATTATTGGCTGATAAAAAATTCTTGGTCCACTTACTGGGGCAATGATGGATATGTACTGATCTCTCAGAAAGATAATAACTGCGGGGTTACTACTTCCGCCACCTACGTACTCATGTGATGATGATGACGATGATGATGATGATGATGATGATGACGATGATGATGACGATGATGATGAAAAGGAGGGTGATGAATATGAAAGAAGTCACAAAAATATTGTAACTACTTTGCTACATTAGCTCGCTTTTGCTTTCTTGAACATTAGACATTTATTATCTATCTCGATAGAGATTTTTCAACTTAATTATGGTATTTAGATTGTATTTAGGTATTTTTGTTGTTTGGTCATACTAAAATAGATAATTTATATTGCGGAACTAGTATTTATCTAATTATGTGTACGTATGTTTGTATGTATGGGTGTGTGCTATGTTGCAGTATACCGAGCGCCTCATAATTGATTGTTGGTATGTTGTTATGCCAACCGCTTGTATGTATGTATGTGTATGTATGTATGTATGTATGTATGTATGTATGTATGTATGTATGTATGTATGTATGTATGTATGTATGTATGCAGCCACCTTACGCATGTTCTTAACTGCAGCTTTCAAGATTAGCCGTTGATTAATATGTAAATATAATTTGTCAGGATTATTGTGATTATTATTACTCTTATTGTGTTATTATTATTATTATTGTTGTTGTTATTATTATTAATTTAATTTGATAATTTGCTGTGGTTTAAAAGTTTAATAAAATAATAATAATATTAATGATAATAGCGGTATTGTTTATTCTATGCCGATAACTTGACACTTTGAAAGCAATAGTGGCCCGGAAAAACAATAATAATATCAATAATAATAATAATAATAATAATAATAACAAAAACAACAATAATAATAACAACAATAATAATTAGTATAACAATAATAATAATAATAATAATGGAATTTGACATCATCATCGCGTTCTTACAAAAACATCAACAACAATCAATCAATCAATAAATTTGGAATAAATTATTTTTTTAGATTAAACTTTTAATCAAAACAAAAGCAATATATCACATTATCATCATCATAATCTTAGTCTACGTCGTCATCTACGTCATCATCATCATCATTTTTCAAAATGGCGGAAGCAGTCAAGGTCATCGTACGATGTCGACCAATGAACGGTCGAGAAAAGGGGTTGAACTGTCAAAATGTTATCACCATTGAAAATAGGACCGCCTCCTGCTCTATAAATAACCCAGCTGACCAAAAGGCTCCGCCCAAAAGGCTAGACTTGCATAAATTATTATAATTATGAATAATTAGACTGGTAATTCAAGAACATTGTCGTTTCTTTATAACCATTGATTAATTAATTTATTTATTTATTTCAACTTTGTTACACAGTTCAACGTGATCTTATTGCGGCATTTTTTTCTATAGCTATTTATGCTATTGTTATTATTATTATTGTTGTTGTTGTGTATTTAGATTCACTTTTGACGGGGCTTATGACGTCAACTCGACCACAGAACAAATATATGCCGATATTGGATTTCCTCTGGTCGAAGTCTGTCGAAGTTTGCTCGTTATAATAAGTTTACTATACTATCTTATCCATGGCGTATAACAATAATAATAACAACAACAATAATAATAATAATGTTAATAATAATTAAGGGAGTGACGGAAGGATACAATGGGACTATTTTTGCATACGGACAAACGGGATGTGGAAAGTCGTTCACTATGCAGGGAATCAGTGATCCGGCTAACCAGAGAGGTATTATACCGAGGTACTTATTGTTATTATTATTATTATTACTGCTACTACTACTACTACTAGGTATAGTAGTTGTTGTAGTAGTAGTAGCAGCGGCTGTAGAAGTAGCAGCAGTAAGATAGTAGTAGTAGTAGTAGTTATAGTAGCATAGCAGCACCAGTAGTAATACTGCTGTAATTGTTTTATTGTTGTTATTACTAATAAGATAATTTTAATTTTTAAAATAATTTTGCAGAGCGTTCGACCACATATTCGAGACGATCCAAGTATCGGAGCACAGCAAGTACTTGGTACATGCCTCCTACCTCGAGATATACAACGAGGAGATTCGGGATCTGTTGGGCAAGGATATCAAACAAAAACTGGATCTGAAGGAAAATCCAGACAAGGGAATCTACGTGCAGAGTTTGTTTCACTTTCGTTTTTCATAGGAGTTTTTTGAAAACTACAAAAATAACAATAGCAACTACAAAATAAAACAACACTAATAGCACAGCTTGAAACAAAACAAAACAACAACAACTACAACAGCATCATTAGCAGTTTTAAACATTACCAACACAACATCATCAACAGTTTGACACAGCACAAAAGCATCCACGTAAACGAATCCACCACTCCAAACGTCATCCAACATTCCAGGCCTCTCAAAAAACCCCTGCAAAAATGGACAGGACTGCCAGGCAGTGATGGAGAGGGGGTGGAAGAACAGGTCGACCGGGGCGACCCTCATGAACTCTGACTCCTCCCGCAGTCACTCCATCTTCACCATACATCTGGAAAGATGCGATCAAGATGAGCGCGGTGAAGAGCACATCAAAGTGGCTAAGTTGAATCTTGTTGATCTGGCGGGCAGCGAGAGACAGGCGAAAACCGGTACGTTGTTTGTTTATGTGTGTGCGTGTGCACTTGTGTACGTGTGTTTTTATCTTACATGTATGTTGGTGTATGCGTATGTACGTATTTTTAATGTATGGATACAAGTTTTAGGTGAAATTTACGTAAAAATTTATACAGCTTTTTGTAACGTTATTTCTTTGGTACTTTTTGCGACTATATAAAATTTAGTCCTGTGTTGAATGAAGGGTTCTGTTTTTTCTAGCTAGCCGTCAACATGCATTACATATAATCTCGTACCAGGAGCCACTGGCGATCGATTGAAAGAAGCCACGAAAATCAACCTCTCCCTCTCGGCCCTGGGTAACGTAATTTCGGCCCTGGTCGACGGTAAATCCACTCACATTCCGTATCGAGACTCCAAGCTAACGAGGCTCTTGCAGGACTCACTGGGCGGCAACACGAAAACGCTGATGATCGCCTGCCTGTCGCCTGCCGACAACAACTACGACGAGACGTTGAGCACGCTGAGGTACGCAAACAGGGCGAAGAACATAAAGAACAAACCGAAGGTGAACGAGGATCCGAAGGACGCCATGTTAAGGGAGTACCAGAGTGAGATCGAACGTCTGAAGGCCATGCTTCGTGGAGAGGTGCCTGTTCAGATTGATGGTCAGCCGATGGTCATTTCTTGGTGTCAAAAAATTTAGAATTTTTTGAAATTATTCCCATAAAATGATTCATAGCATAGCATAACTCTAAAAGGAAGCTATTGTAATTTGAAAGGCGTCAGTAAAACTGGAGGTATGAGTCAGAAAGATGTTGAAGACGAAAAAAATCGCTTACGCCAGGTTCCTAGGCTTTCAAAATTATTTCACCTTTTAATTAATTTTGGTAAGAAAATGTAGAGATTAACTTAGTTTATTTCGCATATTGACTATTTTTTATATTTCAGTGAGAGTTTTTAACTTAAATAGGAATTCGAGCTAGAAATGAAGACGTTGAAAGAAGAATTGAAAGCCGCGAAACTTTCAAAGGATGAGATGGAAGAGGAAATTGGAAAATTGAAAAACAACTACGAAAGACAGGTGGCTAAAATCGAAAGTTCTGAAAAAACCTCGAGTCAGTTTCGTTTCTAAATATAACTAACAATATATTTAATGATTATTCTATTCAGCTGTTAGTTTTACCAATAGATGAACATACATTTAAAAGTTAAGAACTTAAACGAAACATGGACTTACAAATTTTATGAATTACACTTTTTTTGCATGAATTAAGTCACATTTCTATGAATTATTATGAATTATACCAACTATTATTAATGCTATTATATGAATTAATATGAATCGTAATTATGTGAATTATAGTGAATTAAAATTATGATGAATTGTGAATTACGTACATGTTTCTTCCCAGAGAAGTTAAGAAACAATGAGGATGATGTTAGTGTAAATGTTTTACCGTAACTTTCTATCATAGTAAAATATAAGTTATACTATCATTGCTCTCTCTCTCTTTCTCTCTTTCTCTCTCTCTCTTTCTCTCTTTCTCTCTCTCTCTTTATATATAATATTATTAAATAATAATTAAATTATTAATAAAATTATATCAAAATGTTATGTGTAAATTTGAATGTAACGCAGTTCATTGCAAACTCAACTGCATGTACGTACATTCACGCTCGCGTGTTTCTGTTTACTTCAATTCGTTAACTGAAAAATACAATCATATTTTACTAATTTCTAATTTCTTGCAGAACGACGACAATGAAGATGGCGATGACGTAGATGAAGATGACCGCAAATACACGCAGGGTTCAACCCCGGTTCACGCGGTTCACGTAGGCACTCACAAGGGTGGAAAGAAGGGTATCAGCTCCAAAGATGACGTTGTTAAGAGGTACGTGGGTATGTGTGTGTGAGTGTGTGCGTGTATGTGTGTGTGAGTGTGTGTGTATCATAACTTTTAGATTGCAAGAACTACAGCAGAATTTCGTAGGTGGAGAGCTCTCGAATAATGAGGAGATTAAGGAGAAGAGGAAGAAGAAGAAGAAATACGCAGAGGAAGCCAGGAATAAATTACAAGGTGTGTGGTGTTTGTGTGTGTGTGTGTATGTGTTCGTGTGTATGTGTGTGTGTGTGTCTTTGTTTGTATGCGTGTACGCTCAAGTCTAATTGTTTAGCTAGACAAAACAACCAAGCAAGTAGATTTTATATTATTGTTGTTTTAATATTTTACTCATTAAATGACTCAAACGTTGGTTTAATTAATTATAATAATTAATTAATTGTAATTAATTAATTGTAATTGGTGTTGCGATATATCGCGAGAGTTCAAGAAATATATGTTGAAAGCTTAACTTTTTAAACTAAAATATTTTTTTGGATTCTTCTTTGGATTATGTCTATTTATAGAAGCATTATCTCGGGACGGCGACGATATTGTCGTTGGCATGTTTAAAAACGTTCAAGATGAGCTCAAATACAAAAATAAACTGCTTGAAAAGGAGAAGCAGAAGGTATTTTTCGCTATTGTTTCCAATTTATCGAAAAATTTGTTTGTTTGTTTGTTTGTTTGTTTGTCTGTCTGTCTGTCTGTCTGTTTGTTTGTTTGTTTGTTTGTTTATTCATTTTGCCCTACACTTCATAAGCCCACCTTAAGACAATCTGAGTGGTTATGATTTGAAATCGTGAACATAAAATAACATAAACGTCCCTGACGGCACACGCAAACAAACAAACAAATAAAGAAACAAACAACAAACAAACAACAAACAAACACACCACAAACGGCAAACAACACACCACAAACACCCCACACGACAGTCTGAGTCTTTGAGATGTGAGATCATGGACATCCAGCAAGAGTTCGAATTCGATCGGATCGACTACCTAGATACAATAAGGAAACAAGAACAACAGCTTAAGTATTTTCAAGTTGGTGGTGGTGATGATGATGATTATACTGCTACTGGTGATGATTGTGATGGTGATGATGATGGTGATGGCGAGGGTGATGATGATGATAATGAAAATTACCGTAAAATTGACGATAAAAAATTGATTATTTTTAAACGAAAGATCATAACAATTTACTGGCCAACAAATCAACCAATCATTTCGTTCCCAATCAAGCAACCAATCAACTCGATTCCAACCAACCAATCAACCAACTCCCCACAATCAACCAACCAACAATCAACCAACTCATCCTCAATCAACCAACCAATCAGGCAATTCTATCTAGAATCCATCCTCTAATCCGTAAGGATTGTAACTTCGCGAACCTGGATAAGATCAAATCCCAAGCGGAATGGGATGAAATAAATAAGAACTGGATTCTGCCTAAGGTGGTCGTGGAGAAGGGGCATCTGCCCTCTGCCACACCCCCTACCAACAATGGTGATGACGAGAATGTCAATTGAATTATTATTATTATTATTTTATTATTATTTTATAATAATAATAATCATTTAATTATTATTATTTAATTATTATTATTATTAGGCACGCGAAATGCCGGCCAATCAAACGACTCGTACTACAACCACTCCAATAACTCCGATTACTATGACGACCAGAGAATCAAACAGGTATTATTATTATTATTTAAGTATCATCATCAGCAGCAGCAGCAGCAAAGACAGCGTCATCATCATTATCATCACCATTCTTACTAGAAACTTCAGAACAGTGACGAACAAGAGATGGCTAAGAACTACTTCAAATCGACCAGGGCCGAAGAGATACTGAGTAAGTTATTTCAATAATAGTAATGACAATAATAAAAATATTAAATATAATAACGATAATAACAATAATAATAATAACAATAATAATAATAACAATAATGGAAACTGTTTTATTTCAACCAAAGTCGTTAAAATGAAAGAAAAATGTAATTAAAAATGTAGTAATGTTCAATAAAAACCACAATGCTCATACCCAGTGCAAAGCGGTGACATATTCAAATTGGTTTTAAAGTGTTCATATCGCAATGAATGCCATAGATCGACCTAATTAGTTTATTAATTTTCTATTAATTATAATAGTCAATTAATTTGTTAATAAATGAAATCGGTCATGAATTTTTAATTAGTGTAAATAATAATATGGGGAACATCCTTTTATTTTCTAACTCCAAATACCAAATATTAATAATGAAATAATTATAAAATCCTATTTAATAATAATAATAATTTTAATAATAATAATTTTAATAATAATAATAATTTTAATAATAATAATTTTAATAATAATAATAACAATAATTTTCAATAATAATAATAATAATTTTAATAATAATAATGATAATTTTAATAATAATAAGGATAATATTTTTCAACCATATAAGATTCTAGCAGTAATTACGACGACGACAGCCTTAACACCAGCTACAATAGCGGCAGCAGCTCTGGTAATAACAATAGCGGTAAGGAATTTTTATTGTTATTATTGTTTTTATTGTTTATTTGTTTAGTGATATTTGTTCACCATCGTCATCGTCACATCACCGCTACCGACCATAATGACCCAAACAGGAAACGGAAGGATGGCGATGAAGAAGATGATGACGTCATCGCCTAGGCCCGGTTATGATAACGGTGGTGGTAATGATGACGGAAGTCTAACCATGAGAAAGCCAATCCGTCTTGAGGCACTCCCAATGAACCAGCAGGATAGTAATAAACTTAGGAAGGGGAAGAAAAATATAAAGAATAATAATTATAATAATAATTATGGTGGAGATTATTAATTCTCAAATAATAATAATAATGGGACGGGGTCTATTGTTTCGGAAATCCGGACACGTATTCGGGATTTTACGTACGTACGTATGTCATAATATCCCGGTGTAAATGTTTTAAAAGTAAAAGTTTGGAATTGAAGTTGAAATTTTTTGATTGATTGATTGACTGATTGGTTGGTTAATTAATTTATTGATTGACTGATTGGTAGGTTAATTAATTGATTGGCTGATTGATATGTGAGTCGATTGATTGACAAACGAATGAACAAACTGGTGCGTATATAAGGGAGCTTTTTTTATGGTAATTAAAATAGCTAATCATTCACGAGTTAAAAAATTTTGACAAATAAATAATTCTATTATTGTACGCACACTTATTTAGCGCTATACAAATGAGATAATATGTTATTTTATACATTTGTTTAGCGCTATATAAATTACAACTTGATGATACACTATCTGTGATAGATAACTTTTTAGATACAAATATTTAATATATCTCTACGTGTCTTGTTTTCTATGTTCATTCTTTCAGTCATTTATTGATCCATCATTTAAATATTCATTCAGTCCGTCAATCATTCATTCATTCAATTATTCAATCAATCATTCACTCATTCATTCAATCATTCATTCATTATAACAACGATATAACAATACCGTATTGACATTACATAATTGTAATTATTCAGCGTGAATCTCAATAGAAAATTTTTAAAAAATAAATAACAATAATAAAAAATATAATAATAATCATTACTATTATTGATATTATAATATTAATAATAATAACAAATAATAATATTATTATTATTTATTTGAAATTATCTGTCAAAACTTTTTCCAATAAAAATTCACACATTGTTAATTGTGTTTTGCACATATACATAAACGTATACAAACTATACATATAGAAGTGGTAGCAGCAGCAGCAGTAGTAGCAGTAGTAGTAGAAGTAGTAGTAGCAGTAGTAGTAGTAGTAGTAGTTGTTGTTGTTGTTGTTGTTGTGGTAGCGATAAAGATTTTAAACAACCGAATTTCTGGAATGTTACAATGGCCTTATATGATTAATATTGAACAGACAAATTTGCTTCAAAGATGATGAAAATGATGATGATGGAGATGCCGTGTCATAAACAGTGATTATGACGACGATGATGATGACTAACCAAACGATGATGAAGATGGTGGTGGTGAATATTCCAGAAATAACTTTTTCGGAGACATAAGAGTTACTACTATATCATAAATAAAGTTATTCTTAATATCTCCTTTCACGCACACACACACACACACACACACACACATACACACACACACACATATATATATATATATATATATATATATATATATATATAGCAGTAGAAGTAATATTAATATTAGTAGCAAAAGTAGTAGTAGTATTATGCATATACACATATATTTATGATTAGAAAAATTTATTTTCGTATATGAAAAGCTAAATTTCATTCAAAATATACTATGATACGTATGTATGTGTAGATATATGCTTGTTTGTTTGTTCGTTAATTTGTGTGTATGGTTGTTTGTTTGTATAAATAATGTATTCGTGTGTATAAATGCATATATAACATATTTCTACATTCTACATACATACACACATACATACATGTATACATACATGAATACATACATACATACATACATACATACATACATACATACATACATACATACATACATACATACATACATACATACATACATACATACATACATACATACATACATACATACATACATACATACATACATACATACATACATACATACATACATACATACATACATACATACATACATACATACACACATACATACATACATACATACATACATACATACATACAAAACTTCCCTTGCAAAGGAGCAAAGCAGTTGCATGCAAAAGTTCATGATGCATAACTCGGAGTTAAGAAGGCTGCTGGAAGATTGGTAATTCTTTTATTTTAATATTGTAATTATTTTTATTATATTATTTTTTTATTAAATTATTTAAAAAAGATTATTATTATTATTATTATTATTATTATTAACGATAAAAAGGTAGGTTTTTTTAATCTCTTATCTGATTAATAGGTTAATTTTTTTGTGTATGCATGAATGTATGTATATGTGTGTACGTATGTGTATGTATGTACGTATGTGTGTGTGATTGTATGTATACAACTCGTTTTTAGGCAGTGGTTTTAAAACAATACCCTTTCAAACGGTGATAATATTCACATCACCTTCTTGTTGGGCCACTTTTTTCGATATATATAACTTTCAATTAGTAATAATAATTTTAATAGTAATAATAATTAATAATTAATAATAATAATAACTTATAATATTATTATAATCTATAATAATAATAATAAACTTATTGCAATAATTAAAAATACTTTTCGAAGTATGTTGTAAATACGTTGTTTTTTTCGTATTTACATTTCAAATCATTACAAATTTTTATCTAAAAAAAAGTACTGAGTGATTTTTTTTGTTCGTTCATTCATTCATTCATTCATTCTTTTATTCACTCACTCTCTCATTCATTCATTCATTCATTCATTCATTCATTCATTCATTCATTCATTCATTCATCCAACAGATTTATTTTACATAACTCCGACTTGTTGATTGCTAGTAAAAAATAACCTCAATGTCTCTCATTCATTCATTCCATCATTCCTTCATTCATTTTTTTATTCATTCATTCATTCATTCTTTCACACATTCATTCACCCACCCATTCATTCAGGTAGGTTTGTTGGTGAATGATGAAAATGGCGCCAATGATGTCTGATTATTATTACCACAATGAGGATCGCCAACAGCGTTATAGTCCGCCTGTCATCAGCGCGCCAAGAATCATCAGAGAAGAAAATATGGTTGGTTCGATTGATTGGTTGGATAGTTGATTGATTGATGTGTGATTGGTTGGTTGATTAGTTGGATAGTTGATTGATTGATTGATTTGGTTGATTGGATGAATGATCGATTGGTTGGGTAGTTGATTGATTGATTGATTGGTGTGTGATTGGTTGGTTGATTGGTTGGATAGTTGATTAATTGATTGATTTGGTTGATTGGATGAATGATCGATTGGTTGGGTAGTTGATTGATGTGTGATTGGTTGGTTGATTGATTGACAGAATTAATGAATGAATGATTTATTACAACAACAACAACAACATCAACAACAACATCAACAACAACCACAACAACAACAACATCGACAACATTAACAACAGCAATAACAAATATAATAATAACCGTATAAGAATTATATAATAATAAGAATATATATAATAATAAGAATAATTACAACAACACGATAGATAACTGAAAGACGTTCATCCAGTCTAGCTCCCCCTTTCAGCTACTCATCATCTTCTCTACAACAACAACATCATCATCATCATCATCGTCCTCATCACTACCAGAAACAACAACAGCCTTATTCGTACGTAAAACCATCACCATCATCATCTTTGATACCATCACCCAGATACTCGCTATCATCATCATTATCGCCATCTTTGCCGGCGTCAGCCTCTACGTATTTGTATTCGGGTTCGCCTTCGTTAGCTCAATATTCGTCGCCATATGTCGGTCTGACGTCATCGTCGAATATTAGCACGCACATCCCTAAATCTCGTACGAGTATCAACTATAAGATTGCAGACGTCAGCAAAGATGGCGGTTTGGTTACTAGAAGGTGTGTAAGTGTGTGTGTGTGTGTGGTATGTGTGTGTGTGTGTGTGTGTGAATTAACTGTGTGCATGAATTAATCAAAATTAAACCAATAATCCATCAATCATTCAATCAATCCATCAATCCATCAATCAACTATTTCACTAACAATCAACCAACCGGTCAAGATTATCCCAATCTTCAAGTTCCGGATTTCAATCATCCCACACGGGATATCCTGGATTCAGTTCGAGAGGACGATCGATGTCCATAGAGCCGACATCAGCATTTGGCGGGTACAGAGGTTCGATTGTTCACTTGGTAAGGAACCGTATTCAATGATTATGAATGTTTGAAATGATTAAAACACAAAGTGAATATAATATTTGCAATTTAAAAAAATATAATTTTACGATTGCATTTAAAAAGTATAATTTTACAATAGTATTTGAATCGACAACCTTACTTTCTTCCCGATAAGAATGTTAAGAGTTCTGAATAATTTTATAGATACGACAAACAACTGATGAACATGAAGACCCTAAAAACGTACAATATAGTGTTACTAATCTTAATAACTAATTACTTTCCACAACCACCTCCTACACCGTCAGATGGAACCATCAGTGAGAAACAGAAGTAGCATCATCACATCGTCTCCAACAACCTCTCACCACTTCTCACCATCATCTTCCTCTTATTACCAGCACCAATCCCGCCCACTATCACGCGTCGGTAGCATCGCTTACTACACGGCTTCACCATCGGCTACCACATCACCACAGCCATCCTCATACAATGATGGCCTATCATATCAGCCACAGCAAAGGTTTGCAAGAAGAGATTCATTCAGCAAGCCTTACTACACAGTTGATGACGAACATAAATCAGGTGACCTGGTCGTAAAAAGGACCTCCGTATATCAACCTTTGACCTCTTGCAACCTTCCTTTGACCTACTTGAGACGTGGCTCGGTGTACCAGCATCAGCAACAGGAACCACATCGTGTCCAACAACTTCGCGAATCATCAGCGGCTCCTGATGGCAGAGTGGTAGCAGCCAGCAACGTCGTCTCGAGACGTACATCTATCGGCAGGGAACCGAGTGTGGAGGCTTCGCTGGCCTCTCGCCGAGCTTCATTGCGACGATCGCTCACACCAGCCTCGCAACAACAAACGACTCAGCAGCAGCTGCAGCAAGTTCAGCAGCGACAGAGGACTTCGTATTATCAAAATGTCGTTCAGCCTGCTGGTTCGGATGGAAGATGTCCCTCAGTTGTGGCCGTCAGAACCAGTGTCAGTGGTGGCAGTGGTAGTCGGCCAGGCTCTTTCGTCGTCAACAATCGCGACTCGACAGTCGGATCCGTTATTAATCGGTCCTCTATTTTAGCAAATGATGGCCTGGAGTTTGTTAGAGATAGCAGCGCTAATGTCGGTAAAACTTTTTACGATTATCGAGGTCGAAGGGAACCGATGGTTGTCAAGTCGGTTGCAAATGGGCCTACTGTTTTACTGGAGAACAATGCTTTCGAGATGGTTGGTACAAAATTGAAATCATATGTAATCATATTATTTTAATCTTCATCTCATCAGTGAAATTGTGAATTTAAATTGTAACGGTAAACATACAAATTTATGAAACAAACCCAACAAACAAACAGACAAACGAACAAACAAACAAACAAACAAGAAACAGACTGCGAAACAAACGCCAAACGGAGAGGACAGATTTTCACTGGTGCAGCAGCTAGGCTCGCTGGCCGACTTGAAGAAGAGGACATCTGAAGTTAGGAACGTGATGGGAAAACATAGGATGCTTATTGATAGGTACCTGCCAATCAAAATGGGACCGGAACCGGAAGTGGCTTTTGAGATACAAAATAAATATGGAGAGTTAGTCGAGAGGTAAGATAATTAATTTCCCCTTAAATTTAAAGTTACAATTTTTTCTTCTGTTCTCTGAATAGTTATTTTTATTTATGACAATTTTGTTACTCGAAAATTAAACTCAATACCACCCCAACTACTGCTACTACTGCTGCGGCTACTGGTTACGATGATGATGGTGGTGGTGATAACGATGATGATAATAGTAATAATAATAATCATAATGATTATAATAACCATGGTAGAATGCCTCACATAGAGAGAGGTGGAAAGTACAGAGCCCAATATTCTGACGCTGAAGACGATGATATCCAACAAGGTCAAGGCCATTATTATTATTATGATTTCTATTACTAATTATGATTATTATTATATTATTATTAATTATGATTATTATTTTCATTGTTATTGGTGTCGTAGAAGGTGAACATTCTAGAAGAGAGGGAAATGATGACGAAAATAAAGCTAGAAGCAAGGTGAAGCCTTACAAGCCCGCCTCAAATGTTAAATCCTATGGAAGTTGCCTCGTTAATGTTCATATACCTGTAAGTTTTTCCAGCCAATTTTAATTTATTCTTTTCAGATTTAGACTATTTTAATCAGCAATGCCATTATTTATGATACTAATGCTAGTAGTTGAACCGCAGTCACATTCGTACATACACGCACATACACGCACGCAAACACACATATAGAAGCATATAAATCACCTGAAACAATCTATCTGATCAATAAAATTAGCAAACATTGTAAAGAAATATTTTTAATTGTGGTTTTTATTCATTCTTTGATATCTTTCCCCTCAAAGAATTCATTCACGCCCGTTGTTTCGGACACTAGGAAGAGGGCAAGAAATGTTTTGTGCAAAGTCAAAGGAGACCCTGGATATTTTAACTTTAATTAAACTATAATAACCATGATTAATAATTATAATTAATTTATTTATGAAGTGTAACATCATTTTACACTACAAACGGTAAATTAATTAGTTAATTATATATGCTTTTTAATTGCAGTTTTGTCAATATAATAATTTTTTCCAATAAGGGTATACGAACATGTTACATTTTCTAAATGTTGGTTTCTTTAGGAATTTTAGTAGTTTACAGATATAAAGAGAAAAGTGTGTGTGAGAGAGAAAGAGAGAGAAAATGAATAATAATATAAATAATATATATATTTATTATATATAAAACAAAATTGACGTGTTTTATGTGATTGAACGCATTATTTTCAATGATCCGTAGTTTATTATCTGCTGTAGAAATTTAATTCTAATAACTTATATTATAAAAATGCTTTATTTGTAAACATTCATTTATAATTTTCAATTGTATTGAATGAATGAATGAACGAACGAATGAATTGACGAAAGAATGGACGAATAGATGACTGGTTGATTGATTGATTGGCTGGTTGATTGATTAATTGGTTGGGTTGGTTGATTGATTGGTTGGCTGGTTGGTTGGCTGGTTGGCTGGTTGGTTGGTTGGTTGATCGATCGATCGATCGATCGATTGATTGATTGATTGATTGATTGATTGATTGATTGACTGACTGACTGACTGACTGACTGATTGATTGATTGATTGATTGATTGATTGATTGATTGATTGATTGATTGATTGATTGATTGATTGATTGATTGATTGATTGATTGATTGATTGATTGATTGATTGATTGATTATTGATTGCTAAATTTTATTCGATTGTAGCACATGGCTCACAATATTTGAAAATTTTTATTTGAAATGAATAAAGGTTTTATCTAACAGTTTTTCACAATTTAGTGTATATTCAAAAAGTACAGTGTATACTTAAAAGACACACACACATCATATATATATATATATATATATATATATATATATATATATATATATATATAGAATATGCAATTATTATATACATAAAAAGTTTATATAATTTATCATAGATACAATAATGAAGATTTTTTTATCCATTTATTGATTTTATTTCTTTTTATACACCTATTATCAACCGCAATGTTTACATTCGTTTAAATGTCCTGAAAAAGTAAAGAATAATAAACTAAAATGGTGAGTTAAATTAGCAAATGAAACTTTAATGACGCTAATTAATTAAATTAAGGAGCGTAACAAAGACTTTTAAGTTTTCGGTAATCGCAAAAATGTTTCTATTTTTTTTATTCAATTAAAAAATCAAAATTCCAATGAATTAAGTTCAATTTTTTAGTTAAGTTAGTTTAAATTTAAATTTTAAGCTTTAAAATTTATACTATAAATTAGTTAATTAGTTATAATTAGCTGACCATTTCATTTTTTCTTGCTAATAAAATAAAAATGAATATTTTAAAATTTCGTTAATGTCCTAAAACCACAGTCGCTACCAACAAGCAAGATGAAATTACTCAACAGTGCAAAAAGTGCTCGCGAGGATCGAGCCATCGAACGAAACAAAGTACTGGCCGCCACTAAAATACAGGTTCAATATTTTATTTAATTAAATTTTAAATTAATTATAAATATATATGACAGGTATGTGTATGTGTTGAAAGTCAACTGTTTAATTAATTAATATTAACTTCTCATCATTGTAAATTAAGTAAAATTAATTAAATTAATAATAAATGTTTAATCTACATATCTCAGAGTCAGCATGCCATATTTCAATTAGTCAATTAGTGAAGAAATCAATAAAAATGGTTTATTTGTTATTTTAAATAAACAAATATTAAATGACGGATAGTCATTTTTTTTCAGTCAGTTGCAAGGGGCTTTTTAGCCAGATGTACATTCAACAAGGTTATAAGGTATATTTTTATTTAATATACTATAACATTAATATATAGTATAATAAAATAATATTAAAATTATTTATTATAATAATAATTTTTTTTCTTCTATAGATTAGACCTTGATTCTATACTTCAGATTCCAGTAAACACCAATGATGAATACAAGCCAGCATTGAGACCAGGTTTTTTTAATAATATTTTTTAGATTATTAATATTATTTATTTATTTATTTGTTTGTTATTTCATTTTAGCTTTAGAGTTCTTTCATGCTGTTGAAAGGTTCCTAATGGTCTTCAAAGAACAGAAAGATATGCAGGTCATTCCTGTCTTTCTCTTTATATATCTCTCTCTTCTCTCTCTTTCTCTCTTTTCTTTCTCTCTCTTTCTCTCTTTTCTTTCTCTCTCTCTCTCTCTCTCTCTCTCTAGATGATATGTTGATGAATTGTTATAAATAGTTTGTCAATGATTCTTTATCTCCTTTTTATTATCATCCTCATCGATGTTTTCAAATAACCAGAGGTTCGAACACATATGTAGATACATACTGAACTCCATGAGTGCTGAGGTTCTGAATAAGGTATGTCGTCGTCATCGCCGTCCTCGTCATCATTATCAGTATCGTCATCATTGTCGTCATCGTCATCTTCATCATCATTATGGTTATCAGTATCGTCATCTTCATCATCATTATGGTTATCAGTATTGTCATCTTTACCATCTTCATCATCGTTATCAGTATCGTCATTATCACTAACTATAATAATAATTATTATTATTGATGTAATAAAATAATAATTATGATCATAATTTTAGAACGTGTATGCGTCCGTAGCACTGTCAAAAGAGAGCTTGATCCAGTGGATAAACCAATTGAAGAGACTACTGTTAATAAGTTTGCAGTATTTCAATGTACTGAAAGTAAGTTTGAATGAATGAATGAATGAATGAATGAACAAATGACTGAATGAACGAATGAATGAATGAATGAATAATTGAGTTAATTAAAAATTTGTGGTATTTCAATGTAATGAAAGTGAGTTTGGATATTGATGAATAGATGGATGAATTTTTAGATGAATGAGTGAATGATCGAATAACTAAATGAATGAATGAAACAAAATTATAGTGTGATAGAGTGAAGGATATGAAAATGATAACGGCAATGTTACACTTCCAAATAACATTCACAAGCTGCTCAACTTGGAAATTCTTGAACAATTCGAAAAATGGTTTGTATGTTTGTTCATTTGTATGTATGTATGTTTGTTCATTTGTATATACGTATGTATGTATGTTTGTTTGTTTGTATGTGTGTGTATGCAAGTACATATGTATGTTGTATGTAACAAATAACTCTTTTGTATAACAGGAGATCAGTTAAAACCTGGGATGGAACAGCTATGCAAAAATTGCATGGGACACATTACATCTAATGGCTTATATTCATTTCTAAGGGTATGTTGTACACACACACATACACGCGCGCACACACACATACATACAAACAAACAACCAACCAAACACGCACATACACACACATACATACATCCATACACACACACACACATACATACACACACACATACACACACACACACACACACACACACATACATACACACACACACATACATACACACACACACATACTTACATACATACACACACATACATACATACATTGTTAGACTCTATTGATATCTGGTCTGTGCAAATCAAAACCATTGCTAAAGCCGTCAATGCTCACTGCCATCATTACTATCGCCATCAAGTTTGGGAATTATTTTTATTATTATTATTATTACTATTACTATTATGTTAATGATGAAAGCGATGATGATGATGAATAAATAAAAGAATAATTTTTCTTTTTACTTTTAAGGCCCTTAATGGCTTCTGAATATTCAGAGAGTTTGTTCGTTTCATTCATCCTTGAAATTTTATCCGTTCCCTCTCTCGTTCACCACATAATTACTATGTCTGCTGAGGTTGTGGTAGTAGTAGTAGGAATAGTAGTAGTAGTAGTAGTAGCAGTAGCAGTAGTTGTTGTTGCTGGTTATGTTTTTGTCATTGTTTAATTAATTTCAATGTTGACAGTGGCGTTGTTTTCATGGCTGTAACTTATCTGTATCTTACACACACACACACACACACACACACACACACACACACACACACACACACACACACATACGTACACGCATACACATAAATAATCACGCGCACACACACACACAAATCTATTTTTAGAGTTTGACCTTGATGATGTCACAGAGAATCTTTTCAATGACCTTGACCGTCTTAGACGAGAGACAGAATGCCAAAATTATTTTTCACGCTCTTGAAGGGAACTATGCTCTGTGTCTGCTGGGTCAGTGTTGATGATGATATTGTTGTTGGTGATGATGATGATGAGAGTGGTGATGATGATGATGTTGATGAATTTTATTAATATTATTTTATATATTAATATTATAATAATATAATAATATAATATATCATTTACATTTCTAAAAATATTTTCTGGCAGCTAATCTGATACAGCTGGGCAATGCTGAAAAAGAGGTAATGATGACGATCTTGATGATGATGACGACGATCTTGATGATGATGACGATGGCGATGATGATGATGGTGGTGGTGGCGCTTATGACGATTTTGTTGCTGGTGTGGTTGTTGTTGTAGTTGATTTGTTGTCAGTCCTGATTATGATAAGGCTGCTACTACTACTGCTGCTGCTGCTGATGATGATGATGATGATACTACTACTACTTATAGTAATAATAATAATTATAATTATTATTATTACTAATTTGAAAATAATTATTTATAAGGGATTGGTCGAATCTACTAGAAAATTTATGGTCAGTCGTCATAATCTTTTCATTCTCTCAATTAATTATGATGCCGATGATGATAATATTATTCATTATTTATTTAATTATTTATTAATATTTAATATAATTAATAAAATAACTAAATTTTACAATCGCAGAATGTCTCCGTAAAACTTCTAAACTGCTGTAAGCTATACGTTGAAAATAAAAAATCCTTCCTCACACATTGGCATCCTATCTTGGGCTGGTTTGCCCAGAAAACTGACCCAAAGTTAATTGATTAATTGATTGATTGATTGGTTCATTCATTCATTCGTTCATTCATTCATTCATTCGTTCATTCATTCATTCATTCATTCATTTATTCATTCATTCATTCATTTATTCAAACCATCATTCATTTATCTATCCATCTATTCACAGCTTAAACGAAGCAATGCCAGCAGTGATTAAGCAGATCTCAGAGCTGTGGAACATTAGAATGATTCACCTTCTCTTCGAACCGCTATTCACATTTGCCTTATCAATCGAACCAGCTGCTACTACACCTGCTGCCACTGCAGCTGCTGCTACAGCTGCAACAAGCTTTAAGATAAGCAATAATAATGATGTAGTTGTTGCTGGCAGCGGGTTTACTGGCTGCAGTGGTAATGACCAGAATCTGAAATCAAGATGTATGTATTTTTGTATGTAATTTGCAATTTTGATGTTGTTGTGGTTGTTGCAGTTGTTGTTGTTGTTGCTGCTGCTGTTGTTGCAGTTGTTGTTGTACTACTAATGCTAATGATATACTACTACCAACAACAATCATAACAATAGTAACAATGACAAACTCACCCTAGCCACTTTCTTGAAAAAAGTCATGGAGAAATTATCAAACGCTGGCTACATAGGTGGTGGCTCTGGTAGCAGCAGTAGCGTTTGTAACTGCAATAATCTCGGAAGTGATAGCGTTTTGAGGTATTTTTGTATTGTTGTTGCCTATGTGTTTTGTATCATGTGAACATGTTGGTCTCATCTGTGTATGATCACGTTTAAGATATACTTCGGTATATATATATATATTTCTATGTTGCATACAATTAATTAAGCGCCAGAAAATAATGTAAATTTAAAAGTGAACTATGATTCAAATTTATCGAAGATTAAAGATAGATGCGAATTTGATTTCCGATACGTGCTCTGCCTGCAAGGTGTATATGACTAGTCTGTCGTGTCTAACTCAACTCAAAATGGAAATAATGGCTGGTTATTATTGCTGTTGTTGTTGATGTTGATGATGTTGTTGTTGTTGTTGTTGCTGATGTTGTTGTTATTATTTGTAGTAACCATGGTTATTGATGTCATTAATTATTATTAATGTTCTAATCAACAACCACAACATCGCATCATCGTCAACAACAACAACATCATCATCAACAACAACAACATCATCAACAACAACATCATCATCATCATCAACAACGTCAACATCATCAACAACAACAACAACATCATCATCAACAACGTCAACATCACCATCAACAACAACAACAGCGACATCATCATCACCAAAACCATCGTCACCATCGCCAGGACTTTGTTTTCAAGACATACTTCTTCCTCGTTTGTGGACTTTGATTACTCATTTAGGACCACAATGTGGGCTCAAGGTGATCCTAACAACAACAATAATAATAATAAATAAACAAATAATAATAATAAATAATGATGATGATGATAGCGAATAATGATAATGATAATAATCAGGTGTTTATTGAAGTGTTGTCGGGCCATACCAGTTCGACGACGGTGGGTCCTCAGCATCCGTTATTCAACCTACTGCAGTTGGCTTGCGACATGGCTAGACACGTTATGACGTTGGTGATCATCGCGATGGCGCATGAATGACGATGATAATTCACCCAATACGTAATACCACACAGTGCAATACACAATTCTCAATATACCAAATACAGATACAAATAACAAATACAAAATAGACAACATACAATCAATAGCATTAGCCACCAAAAATTCAATCAAGATACATCAAAAACTCAATCAAGATACATCAAAAATTCAATCAAGATACACCAAAATTTCAATCAAGATACATCAAAAATACGCTTAAAATATCCATTATACCTAATATCCAATACCCAATAACCATGCGAAATATACAAAACACGTCACTCAGTATCGTAGATGAGGTGGAAATGTACGAGCAAGAATATCCCTTTCCAATGCAGATGCTCATGTCGATCAGTTATTTCCTCAACAACTTCACGTACGGAAGCATTGCTAGTGGTTATATCGGTTAGAAAGTGCGATATGCATGCATACAACACACACATACATACATACATACATACATACATACATACATACATACATACATACATACAATAAATTCAGTAAATATAGCTTTTGCGAAGCCTTTGCAAGCCTGGTTGTGATATCACTACTATTATACATACATATATACATACATACATATATACATACATACATACATACATGCATACATACATACAAACACATACAAACACACACATGCATGCAGACATCAAAAAAGCAGTATCAGATGAGTTATTCGTCTCGACGATGTCTTTGCTAGAACTTTTGCATTCCAGAGATTGTAGGAGGAAATTTGCTCACGATGGCCACTGGCTTATTAAGTTTGTGATGATGATGCTGATGATGACGATGATGACGATAATGATGATGGTGATGATAATAATGATGGTGATGATGAGGATGATGATGATATAGTAGATGATGATGACGACGATGACGATATTGATGATGATGATGATGATGAGGTGGTTATTACAAATGATGATGATGCTAATAATAATATTGAAAATGGTTATCCCGTCAGAGATATTAAATGCAAAGAATTTTTGAACGATCTCTCGCACAACAAGCCCATACCGACCTTCCTACTGCATCACATGCCTCATATTATACCGCATAGAGAAGTTCGTTGATTGGTTGATTGGTTGATTGATTGATTGATTGATTGATTGATTGATTGATTGATTGATTGATCGATTGGTTGGTTGGTTGGTTGGTTGGTTGGTTGGTTGATTGATTGATTGATTGATTGATTGATTGATTGATTGATCGGTTGGTTGGTTGATTGATTGATTGATTGATTGATTGATTGCCTTGTTGATTGGCTTGTTGATTGGTTGGTTAGTTTATTGAATATTTAATTGGTTGGTTGGTTTGCTGGTTGGCTAAACGCTGGTTCAATGACTGACTAACTGACTGGTTGTTTGATATATTGATTGACTGATTAACTGATTGATTGACTAATTAACTGATTGATTAATTGATTGACTGATTGATTAATTGATTGACTGATTGATTAATTGATTGACATACACATATATCTGACCAGAGAGTAGCCCTGTTTAGAAAATTTGTAACAAAAGATAAGGAAAGCTTAGGCGTGTGCAATACGCCGCACTCATTAGCACCAGCATCTACTGTTATAACTGTACATAGGAATAGACTTGTGGAGGTATGTATGTACGTACGTGTGTATGTTTGTTTGTATGTTTGTTTGTGTGTGTTTGTTTGTATGTTTGTGTGTGTGTGTTTGTTTGTATGTTTGTTTGTTTGTTTGTGTTTGTTTGTTTGTATGTTTGTTTGTTTGTTTGTGTGTGTTTGTTTGTATGTTTGTTTGTTTGTGTGTGTGTGTGTTATACGCTCACAAATACGAAAAATACTTCGCTCTAGGACGGGTACAGGCAGTTAGGAAACTTGACCTCAACTGCCCTCAAAGGGGTCATCAGGGTCAAGTTCATCAACGAACAGGTTACGATAATGATAATAATAGTAGTAGTAGTAATAATAATAATAATAATAGAAATAATAATAATAATGAAGGGCCTAGACGAAGCGGGCATAGATCAGGATGGCGTATTTAAAGAATTCCTTGAAGAAACTATACGAAGGGTTTTTGATCCATCTCTAAATCTTTTCAAAGTCAGTTTGTTACAATAATAATTATAATTATATATTATTATAATTATAATAATTATAACTATATATTATTTTTATTATTGTAGGCCACTGGGGAGCAGAAGTTGTACCCCTCGCCAACGTCCTACCTGCAAGAAAGTCATCTCCTACTGTTTGAATTTGTTGGTCGAGTGCTTGGTAAAGCAGTCTATGAAGTTAGCAACGATTGATTGGTTGGTTGGTTGATTGGTTAATTGATTGGTTGGTTGATTGGATGGTTGGTTGGTTGATTTATTCGTCTGTTGATTGGTTTGTTAAGTGAGTTAGAGGTTGATTGATATTTGATAGGCCGGTTAACCAGTTGGTTGATTGATTGCTTGATTGATTGATTGCTTGATTGATTGATTGATTGATTGATCGGTTGATTGATTGATTGATCGGTTGGTTAGATGGGTTGATTGATTGACATATGCAAATGAACAACAACCAGGGAATTGTAGTTGACGTGCCGTTCGCCTCATTCTTCCTCTCTCAGCTCTTGGGACACACGCACTCGGCCACCTATAGCTCAATCGACGAACTACCATCTCTCGACCCCGAACTCTATAAAAATCTCACATACATTAAACATTATCAAGGTTGGTTTCTGTTTGTGTGTGTGTGTGTGTTGTTTGTGTGTGTGCGTGCGCTGTTTGTGTATATGTGTTTGTGTGGAGTTGTCTGCTATGACTGCTACTGCTGCTGCTGCTATTGCTATTACTAATAATAATACCACTATTAACATCAGGTGACCTGAGTGACCTTGACTTGACCTTTTCATACAACGAAGATATCCTGGGCAAGGTCGTGACCCATGAACTTATTCCCGGCGGTAAAATGGTGTCTGTGACGAATGAAAACAAGTTAGTGAAAGTTCATTTTTTCTCATTTTCTCAAAGTCCATTTTTATTTTATTTCTTTTTTGCTATTTTTTTCAAAATAAATCTGTTAAATTTAAGGATCAGCTACCTACATCTAATGGCTCATTTCAAAATGAGAGTCATCATCAAGGACCAATCAAACGCCTTCATTCGCGGCTTCAAATCCATAGTCAACTCTGACTGGTTGAGCATGTTTTCAGGGCCGGAACTACAAAAACTCATATCCGGGGACACCGATGATATTGATTTAGATGATCTGAGGTAAATATGATGGTGGCGATTTGTGGTGATTTTTAAGATGATTTGATGATGATAATGGTGGTTATTGAGATAATAATAATTTCTTAGAAAAAACACCCATTACTATGGTGGCTTCCACAACAATCACAAAGTCATCGATTGGCTCTGGGACATCTTGAAGAGGGATTTCAATGCAGAGGAGAGAAGGTCATTTCTGAAGGTGAATCTCCTTCTTATTTGATCTTTCATGTTCCTTTTTTTTTCTTGAATTCACTTTCAATTATTTCAAACGTAATTGATCAGTTGTCAAAATCTCAAAAAAAGTTACGACCATACGCGTTGTACATCTATAACGAGATGGCAACAAGTCAGTAATAATATTAAGAATATTAATGATAATGAAAACGTACATGAAAAAGAGGAATCATTAAAAGGTAATGTTTATTAAATTTAGTTTGAGTTAATAATGAAGTGAGTAAAATATAATCACTAAAATTTATACAATGATAAAATGGAGTTATCGATAATCAAACTTTTTACACATTGCCTAACGCAAGCACGAAAAAGCTTAAAAGCATCAAAGAATGTTATAGATTATTACGTTCACAGTAGATATTGTACGACTGGGTTATTGCTGTTAAAATCAACTTTTTTACAAAATAATAATATTAATAATAATAACAGTTTGTAACAAGTTGTTCGAAAGGACCACTGCTTGGTTTCGCTTATCTGGAGCCACCGTTCTCCATCAGGTGTGTCGAAGTCAGTGAAGATCAGGTGAGCAGAGATGATTTTTCGTCTAATTATTTTATCGTTTCTGTTATTAAACCATATTTTAGCATTAAAAAGATTGTTAAATTAATATTTCTTATCATTATGGCTCTTAACTTTAATTTTTTATTACAATAACTAACGATATTCCTCTAACAAATTAGGACGTTGGAGACACGGTGGGCAGTGTCCTGAAGGGTTTCTTCAATATAAGAAAAAAAGATCCAGTCGGTCGGTTACCAACTTCATCGACGTGTTTCAATCTCCTGAAGCTGCCCAACTATCAAAAAAAGAGTACGCTTCGAGAAAAATTGAGATATTCTATAGCCAGCAATACAGGATTTGAGCTATCTTAAATTGTAGAATCAGAATGTTTAAAAATTATGGTTAATTATTGCAAAAATACTGGACTTGAGCTATTTTGAATTGTAAAATTGTGTATCGAATTGTATGATGATTATGATTTGTGAAATTTTTTACTTCTTGTAAATATTTTATATTCTGTACATCAATTTAGTAAATCCTCATAAATTTCATACGTTTTTCTTGACAGCCATCACTGTTACTATTTGATGTTTGTATCTTAATTTGTATAAAAAAAATTAATGATCCATCAAAACACTATTTAAACGCAATTTTTTTTTATTTGTATTTTCAGCATCATTTGAAAACAAAATCTCAATAAATATTTAACAGAAAATATAAACTACATAACATAGTGGACAGACATGCAGCATATGATTTAATGTACTGCTATGTTTGAAAATTGAAAATAACTTTCTGAAACAACGATGTAGAACTGAAGAGTAGAATTTCAATAAGCCACCCAACTTTGAACAAACGAATCAACGTGAAAGTTCAAGTATTATAATTTAGTAATTGAGCCAATATAAAATGAAAAAGTGATCAGATGATTCAAGTGTTTTTTGCAGTCTGCAAGTTAGGCTCCAATACTGATGTCGAGTTCTCATCACCAAATTCAATATCTAACAGCAGCTGTTGAATCTTCACCTTAGCTATGGCTTGCTGTTTTGGTGTGAAGCGATGCAGAGTCCCAGATACTGATTTAACGAAGCAGTCCAACTCATCGATATTTTTTTGATGATTGTGGTCTCCATTCATTAAGCTGTTGTATAATACTCGATCTGGAAACATATTTCTTTCAGTTAGCAAGTTGTCTTCTCGCTTTATTTTTGAAAATGAAAAATAGTCTCCACTGGAAGGCACTTGAAAGCTGTTTTCTGTAAAGGCATCATAAGGCGTGTTGAGAGAATCGGAAGATACATTATCGTTGTCATTGTCACTGTCCCCAGTCAGAGCTGTGGCTGGGTTCTCCTGGCCAAACCCTTCGTCATAATCAACTGGACTGTTTGTTTCATCTAACTGCTCATTTTTAATCATCCTGTTAAGTGAAGTAAATTAATCAGTTACTAATTTTTGAGTCTTTGTGATTTAAAAATAATTTCTGAAAACAGTTAGGCTATTATTGATTGATTGAATCAATCTTTGTAAATTGGAGTTTAAAAATGTGATGTGAGCTACCTTCTATGTTTTACAAAAGCATCCAGAAAGTTCAAACAATCCATAACAGGATTATCCTCTTTTTTTAAGTGTTTTTGGCTGGGACTCTCTTGACTTTGAGCTTTTTTGTAACGAACGTAGGTGTCACGGATCAATCGCCATCTTCTCCGGCACTTATTTTCTAAGAAATTATTTTAAAAAATTATTTCCCTACCAAAACAAAAGCTTTATTAATATAAAATAAATTGTTATTAAAAATATATATGGCAACTTGCCGTCGACTCCCAAATCTCTAGCCACGGAACGCCATGCGTTTTGTTTGGTCGTTTGACTTCTTAAATCCTTCGATTTGTGATTGTACAGACACGGATTTTCTTTAATTTTAACTATCAACAGCTCGTCAAACTCTTTCAAACATTTACCCAGGTTCATCTTTAATTAATAAAATTAAAAAAAACTGTTATTAACGTAAAAAAAACGTTCCAACTAAAAATCACCGGTAAGTTATCTGAATTTGTGAAATTACGGACAAATTTAAACGTAAAATAATCGCCGTACCGTCACTCCGTTTTGTAAATGAAGTTAGAGCGCATTTTATTGCGCGCTTTCACTAATGCGTTGCTTGCGTGTCCTTATGCGTATGCGGATACAACGCAGTGACTTGAACACCCCTTCGTATTTGAACAATGGTATCGGCTTATGACGTTCTATGTAAATACATAGCTGCGTAGTGCTTATCATTAGAATTATTGCATTGCGGCTCAAAACGGACATTTTCTTTATCTCGAATCGGTCGTTTTTTCCTTCAAATTAAAATTTTGTTCACCTTTTTTGATATTTAGAACTGTATTAAACATTAAAACTTGTGAAATTAAAATAACTGATATAGTTCACTGTGCTAACAAATGTTCCTGACTGACTTCGACGCCTTAATGCATTTTTTGTGGTTTTCAAATGTGTTGAAGTGAATATTCCTAAATGTTATCAGTAAATTTGATGAAGTAAGTCTGGTTGAAATTAATTGAAGTGGCAGACACCGCCAAAAATTGTTAGTTTGCGTGAAATATTCGTGCAGACTTCTTTTATATTCATTTGATTCAATTAACAACAAAAACAACATTGATCATCCGCACAACACATGATTCATTCAGTTCTCTGCTTTAGTTGTGCTGCAAAATGTTTGTAAGTTGTTAGATAATGTACGTAATTAAGAGGATTTTATTTAATTTACGCAACTGAGTAGCTGATTTGTCAGTACTTAGTACTTGTCACAGTAATAAGTACCAATACTTGTATAAACTATTGTATGTAGCTATATATATATTACAAAGCATGTATGTATAATATAGGTTTATTACTGCGTTATTTACGGTTACGCGTTACGGTGCGTTCCATTATTAAATGGTTACTTAATCATTCCATCTGCTCTGTTTTTTTCTCAGTTGAATGAAATCCTGCAATTGAACTTTTTTTTTACCATATTTCTCAAGTAATAATTCTTTTTCAGCTCCGGTGGAATAGTATAGAGATGAACAAATTGTGTTAGGGATTAAATTAAATGTAATTGTGGAGGTGGTATCAAAAAAAAGAACGGAGTTTGGACTGAATGCATATTTACGATACGTAGACGGTGCATCATGTCATGTGATTAGTTCATTGTTCATTACAATTGCACGGCTTGGTAATCATCCGTTACATAAAGAGCTAAAAGGGTACATTTTAATTAATTGGTCAGTTAAAGACTTGAAATTAAACCTGCAAAAGTATTTTTTGCATCATCTATTGATTAGTTTTACTGGCTATCTTTTCAAAAGCTCAATGTTAGGCGTTTTTTGAAAACGTTTTACCACAACTTGACATCCCTTCGTTGATCAGAATGGACTCTTCCGCTTGCCACGTATGTTGTTGCTGCATTCATTGACTGGTATAGCCCTACATTGTATTTGGTTGGTTTTAGCTGTAACGCTGCAATGCAAGCCTGCTATCTGTCTATAATACGCACGTATATACATACATACCTACATACATACCTATATACATACATATTTACCTATAAATACATATTTAATTGTATATAAGCATACATCACATGTGGGGTTACATGTTGCCTATTGTGTATATTACGTAAATATATTATATTAATTATTATATTATTAATAATAATTATTATTATTAGATGTAATTTCATTGCTGCTAGGTTAATGTGTTGTAATTAAGTGGTATATATGCGTTATACGTGCGTATTTGACGTGTGTTTTGTACGTACGCGGATGTATGAGTGAATGTATTTTGCGTGTATGTGTGTGTATGAGTTTGTGTATGTATGTGTGTGTATGAGTTTGTGTATGTAGGTATGCATGTATTTAGGATATACATCTTTTAATGTATGTTTTCTTCTTGTGATAGATACACACTCTGATTTTTGCATCTTGGTTTCAGAAAAATTTTATTTAAAATGCAGTAAGTCTTGTCTATATATATATATATATATATATATATATATATATATATATATATATATATATATATATATATAAATAATTGAGGTTAGAAAGTGAAGTTTGAAAAAAGTTGTTATTTGTAGTAATACATTTATAAATCTGGATGTTATTACTAAATTGAATGATTAAACATTAAAGTTCTGCTGTTCAGACATGAATTTTTGGATTACTCTTATAATTTCTTTCTGCTTGATATAAATAAATATCTTGCTTATATTTCATATTATTGTATCATCATTATTATTTATTTGTTTGTTTGTTAAGATTACATTACAGGCATGATAAATGGTTTTCTTGTGTTCGTATTATGCTTTGGTGGGCTTTTTTTTCTGTTTTTTGCTTCGCCTGATTTTACAAGCGATTTTTTATTTGTTAATTATCATTCTTGCTGTTATTATTGTTGTGCGCGCAAATGACTTTGTTTATGTTTTGTTATCTTTGGTTTACTGTTTACAAATTATAAATTTATTTACAAAACCACACTGCCAAAATGTCAAGCGCTAGTTGATGACATTTTTTTTTCTAGATAAAATTTCGACACGTGAATTTTATATGCCTGTAATTTAGTGCTGTATCATGCTAGCCTGCATGTGTGTGTGTGTGTTGCGTGTGTGAGTGTGTTTGTCTGTGTGTGTGTGTTGCGTGTGTGTGAAAATTTAAATGGTTCCATTTGTGTACTATGTATAAACTGCTATTTTCTAATGTACCGTTATAAAACATTAAATAAATAAATAGAAAAATTTATTATTGTCAGTAAAAAATGTATGTATGTATTAGCGCGTATGCAAATAGTTTATATGTATATATATTTATATACATATATGCAGTATATTTGCAAATGTATATGTACATTTATGTACATATTGTATACTTATGTACGTACATATTGTATGCGATAATGATGATCTGGAGCATATATCCTAAGCACATATTACAATACATATTACACAAACACATATTGTAGTTGTATGTATATATATATATATATATATATATATATATTCTATACATATATAGATTTATTATTTTATGTATACCGTATATACACATATATATGTCATTTAATTTTATCGTTGTGTCTGTGTTTTTTCGTTTTGTTAGAAGAATTTCGTGCTCTATTGTTTGGTATTTTATTGTATGGTATTGTTTTGCAACGCATCTTAAGTCAGATCATCTTCTAATAGCATTTAAACGACATAAACATTAACATCTGGATGTAAACCTGTAATATATTAGAGGCCAAATTGTAATAAATTATTGCCATTTTTTGTCATTCTTGAAGACGCTCGTTGCTAATTGGTTGCAACATCCACATAACCACGCCCATTTCCTTTTATTTCTTTAACTCTCTCTCTCCATCCTTGTTCTCTTTCACTATTCAATATTATTTCTTTCTCTACCTCTTCACTACTTTAACTTTCTCTTTGCGCGTTTGCAATGAATGGGTGTATAATATATGTGCGTGTGTGTATGTGAATATATATATATATATATATATATATATATATATACATACATACATGATGTGTGTGTGTGATTGCTTTCTTTATATCACTTTTCTATTGATTGAAGCAAATAAATAACTGGTGGTTAACTTTGATAGTATTTGTACGTGTGTGTGTGTGTATCTGTACGAATGATGAGTTTGTGTCTGTGTGTGCGTGTGTGTGATATGGTATGAACCAAGAATACCTTGAATACCTTGTTCTAGAAATCCATGGTATGTACGTTCGGATCTGACTGATTTTTTTTTCGTCTGTATAGCGATCCAATTTGACGCTGATTTATTACATTAATAAAGATTTATTATTATTATTATTTTAATTCTTTTTATTATTATTTTCTTTTATTTTCACCCACAGAGTAATATGAACCACGATTAGTGAAACTTAAACCATATCACCACATCTAAAACTTCAAAAGCCACCGCAGCTACTGCTACAACTACTATTACTATAAATACTTACTACAGCTTCTGCTACTACTACTGCAGCCACAAATTTGAAAATAAATGGCTAGCGAGGCCACTGCAAGAGCGAGAGATCGTGAAGATTTTGAGGAGGGCGAGTTGGAAGAGGGTGAGCTAGAGATGGATGAAGGAGAGGGGGCTTCAGTTAATTACCCAATCATATTGTCGTCGTCGTCGTCGCTGCTGACGTCGTCGTCGTCGTCCACAACCACAATGTCGTCGCTACAGGCACAAACATTGATGCTACAAAAAGGTGCTTGTTTTTGTATTTTTGTTTGTATGTATGTTTGTTTGTATGTATGTTTGTTTGTATGTTTGTTTGATTGATATTTAATTGTTTTGCATGTGTCACATTGAATGTCTGTGTTGTTTGTGGTTTAAGTTCTACTTTGTATACCTTTTTAGCAATAATAAAAGTAGTTGTAGTAGTAGTAAGTAGTAGTAGCAGTAGTAATAGTAGTAGTAGTGGTAGTAGTAGTTAGTAGTGGTGAAAATAAAAATAGCAATTATACTGAAAATAATAATATTTTTTGCAACGACCCAACGTAATACAACAACAAGGCCAAACAGCTGGTAGCAACAGCAGCAGTAGTAGCCACACCATTTCGTCGACGACAACATCGTCTTCAGCAGTAACGACGACAGCCGGGCGATCCCATTCTCGGAAGCGATCTTTAGAGGGGTGTTCAAGTCAGGCACTCAACGACAGCAACAACAATGAAGAGGATGGAAAGAAGAGGAGATCAAAGAAGAGGAAGAGGAAAAATGGCGATGAAGACATTGGCGTTGATACTGAGGTAATGATAGTGATAGTTGTTATGATAATGACGATGAAGACGTTGACGATGATGGAAAATAGTGATAAGAATATGATGAGAATGACATACATTTTTTTAGAATTCAAAATTTAAAATCAACAAACGACCGTTGCACGATCAACATTAGCAGGATTTGAAGACGCGCGTACGCCACAGAAGTCGCGAGTCCGCTCGGCGACATCGCCACCATCAACAGCAACTACATCGGCGTCATCATCGCTGTGAAAACGACGGCCAACAACAACAGCAACTACATGAACATCAGCAGCAACAACAACAACAACAACAACATCAGTACGAACAAACCTTCCAACAACAACATCAACAATACCACAAGAACGACGACGTTGAACCGCCTCTGAAAAAACCAAAAGGGAGCCACTCCATATCATCTGGCCCCTACGGTTCGCCCTACAATAGCGGCAGGGATGGTCTAAATAATAATAATAATAATAATAACAACAACAATAATAATAATGAAAATAATAATGCCGGTTTTGATAGAGAGAGGAAATATGCGGGAAATAATGATGATGATGATGACGATTATAACGACGACGATGGTTACGGAGAAGGATATCTTGGACCCGTGAGTAATGATGATGATGATGATGATGATGACGATGATGATGATGGTGACGATGATGATGATAGTGATGATGATGATGATTATAGTGACGATGACGACGGCGATGATGATTGTTAATTTTTCAGAACACCAGCAATGAAAGTGATGATAGTAGAAATAACAACAACTACAACAACAACCGGAGATCCGAAAACTTCCAAAACAAGTATCATCATCATCATCATCAGCCTCACCCTACCTACAGGAATATGTCCAGGGGTAGGGGAGGAAGTGCCGCGAGAGGGGGTGCGGCGGGAGGGGTCCGACGGAGAGGGGGCCCAAGGAAGACGACCCCGATGGCGAACAAGTCAGATTTTGATGATAGGCCTTTGGTCTGCAAGTATTTTCTGGATAACAAGTGCATTAAGGTGATGATGGTGATAGCGATGATGGTGATGGTGATGATTATGGTGATGATGATGAAGATTAATCATTTATTATTTGATTTATCCTTATAAAATCAAACTCACACACACAAACACACACACAGACACACAATCACATGCATGCATGCATACATATGTTCAAACAGACAAACAAACAGACAAACAAGCAAACCAACGTGAAAACAAACATACAGGGTGATGATTGTTCGTACGTTCATGATTTGAATCCACCGAAAAGACCTGAGCTCTGTCGGTTCTATCTTTCAAGTGTCGGCTGCAATAAAGATTACTGCTTCTACTATCATGATATCCTTTGTTTTTTTTGATTGGTTGATCGATTGATTGAATGAATGAATGATTGATTGATTGATTGATTGATTGATTGATTGATTGATTGATTGATTGATTGATTGATTGATTGATTGATTGATTGATTGATTGATTGATTGATTGATTGATTGATTGATTGATTGATTGATTGATTGATTGATTGATTGATTGATTGATTGATTGATTGATCGAATGAATGTGTGGATGAACGACCGACTGAATGAGTTTTCAATAAACCGGAAAAAATCATGTATAAATGAATTCATTCATGCCTTTATTTGCACGCTCCTTTGTGTATGTGTGTGTGTGTGCGCGCGTTTGTTTATACGTTAAACTGAATGATCCTAATTCACTAATTGACCCCAATTCGCTAATTGACCTTGACATTTGACCTCGTAATCACGTGACTGGCCGTGTAAGGACTACCACGTCCGCGGCAATTGCCAGTACGGCGAAAAGTGTCGGTTCAGTCATGAGGCTCTTGATTTTGAAACCAGTGAACTGGTGAGCGAGTGAATGAATAAACGAATGATCGAACGAAAGGTGAAAAAATAAATGAATGAATGAATGATTGAATTAGTGAATTCATGAGTGAATGAATGAGCCGGCATAAGTTTATTTATTTAAAATTTCATTGCGTTACAGCTCAACATACCAGACTTAAGCAATAAAAAACCTAAGGAAATTACGAAAAAAATTCAAAAGTATCAACAACAGCATCATCATCAGCAACAATATCAACAACGTCATCATCATCAACAACCAAAACATTATGAACGCTATGAACAACAACAACAACAACTTTACGAACATCAAGAGACACAACAACATTATCACCCACAACACTCTCAGAATGAACAGCAAAACTATGAACAACAACAGCAACAATATCGTCAACAACAATATCAACAACAACAAAATGATCAACAACAACAACATCCACAACAACATCCACAACAACAACATCCACAACAACAACATCCACAACAACAATATCCACAGCAACAGCATCCACAACAACAACATCTGCATCAGCAACAACAACAACAACAGTCTCCATTGTTAGCAGACAGGAAAAAGATCCCGTCTCTTTTAGAATTAGAAATACCACCGCCCACATTCATCCACAGCATCAATAACGATGACGTCATTATCAACAACAACAACGTTGACAACATCAACAACAACGACAATTATTTCAACAGTAACAACAACAAACAGCCGTTGTTGAAAAATTCGCCCAGAGGCTATTACAACAACAACAACAACTATTACTATGATCGAAACGAGTACGGCGGTGGTGATGAAAACAATCGCGGCCGCCCCGGTTATGATGATGATCGTAATAATAATAATGATAATAATAATAATAATAGCGAGACTTTTTGGGATTATCAACAATATGATAGAGAATTTTCGATTGAAAACAACAGCAGCAACAACAACAACAACAATAATAATAACATTACTAATGATATGGACGATGGTAACAAAGATAATACAGATGACGTCACCAAAGATTATGAAAAAGATGTGGCAGGGGCCGATAATACAAACAATCGCCCAAGATGTGATGATGGTAACGATTGCGATGGTGATATTGCGAACAATGATAATGATGCTACAAACAAAGGTTAATACACACACACACATATACTTATGTACATACATGCTTGCATACATACATTCATACATACATACATACATACATACATTCATTCATAACATGCACATTTTAAAACAGAAAAGAAAAGAAGAAAAAAATCAAGATTCGATTCAGCTGATGACGTCAACAACAACAATAATAATAATAACGATGATGATAATGATAAAAATCTGAATGATGATTTTGACCAATTAGAAGTTTCTAGCATGCTGAAAAGTATCAGAAACCAACAAATATGTGTAAGTGTGTTTTTTGTTTGTCTGTGTTTGTTTCGGTGTTTGTGTGCGTGTTTGCGTGTGTGTGCGCGCGCGTGTAATGTTTTGTTTGTATTTATGTTAATAGTTTTATAATTATTTATTACTTTAACTCACTGATTTATTTCCTCCATGTATTTTTGCTAGAATGCATCACAGCAAGGTGCGACCCTGGCAAATAATTCTCCCTTCATTTCTACACAACAACAACATCAACAACAACCACATCAACAACAACCACATCAACAACAACAGCATCAACAACAACAACATCATCAGCAGCAACAGCCATTAAATCAACAACCGCATCAACTATATCCACAGCAGCCACCACCATTGCTTCTACAGCAGCATCTACAACAACAGCAGCTACTGCTACAACAACATCCGCAACAACAACAACAACAGCAACAATATCCACCTCAGCAGCAGTTCTCCACTCTGGCTCAGAATATTTTGAGAATGAATTCCAACATTAACAACACTAGCAACAACAACGCTGTGAACTTTAATGACAACAACAACAACACCAACATGCTAATCAACAGATTTCCAAACAACAACAACAGTAGCATCATCATCAACAACAACAACAACATGTCAACAAACAACCAGCCGGGATTGTTGGGAGCACCTCCGGGACCGCCTCTACTAAATAACACCCCGTGTCTCGTCAACCCCCTCCCAATCCCGTTCAACCCACCGCGGCCTCAGTTATCACAACTAATCCACGCACCACCTCCTCTGCAACCACCCCAACTACATCAGCAACAACAACTTCAACAGCAGCTTCATCATCAGCAGCAACAACAGCAGCAGCAACAACAAAATTTTTCTGGATTGCTCGGTAGAGCTCCAGGATTTTTCTCCAACTTACCCCAGCTGCCTAATCAGCAGCCAGTCGGCCAGATAGCTCCATTTTCTAATCCACCACCGTTCGATCTTGGCCAAATTCTTAGCAACATTGTTAGAAATACAGCAGTCGCTGCTCTAACCAACCAAACGCCTGCTGGCTTTTTAGTTAATAACAACAGTAGCAGTAGTAATAGCAGCGTTGCTGCTGCTGTGGCTGCTGCAAAAGCAGCTGCCGCTGCTGCAAAAATAGCCGCTGCTAGCAATCCTGTAGTTGATGCAGAGTAAGTTAAAGTAATTTTTTGGCGTTGGTTTGTTGATTTTGTGCCTGGGCTCACTTTTGGTTCATGTTTTGATGTCATTTATTGTTTCACTACTGTAATTATTACAATTGCATTGATTGATATTATTTACTGTAGCTTAAATTAGCTTTAAAAATTTTCACTTCAGGTCAATTCTGAACTCGAAGCAAGGCATTCAAAGTGAGGTGGTCAATAATAACAACAGCGCTTCTAGCAGCAGCAGCAGTAAATCCAACTATCAACGAAACAATTTGAACATCATCAAAGGTTATGATGATGACAACAACAACAACCACCTCTTCAGAAAATTTGACATTAAACCATCAAACGACAAAGACAATGTACCAAATAATGACGACAACAACAATAGTATTATTAATGCTGGCGACATTAACAGAGCAGATAACTATAACGAAGATATGAATGTTAGCAAACCAGCATTCGTTGATCCACGCATTAGAAACAGCAACCAGATGGCCACAGCTATTGACAGGGCTAATAAAACTGACGCTGCTACTACTATTCTTGCCACGACCACTTCCACCACAGCTGCAACAGCAGTCAGTAAAGTTGTTAACAATGAAACAACATCAAAGACTTTAACGTCATCAGCAGCTGCAGCAGTAGCGGCAACAGCAAGCAAAGAAAATAAAGACATAGAAATGAAAGTTACAAAGATTCCCTACATTCTGCGCTCCATAAGTTTGGAAACATTAAACCGACCTACCATTCCGATCGACATTTTGGCAAGCTGCACCCCGGAGACCAAAGAAATGTTTGACTTGGACCCAAGAATGAAAAATTATTTGAAACCGTCTCTAGCTGAACTTCCGTTGAACTTTGACATCATGCACTCATCTCCTACGTCAAATTTGACATCCGGGGAGGGTAAATCTAACAACCAGAGGCATTCTTCAAGAGTGAAATTAGATACGTACAAGCCGTCATCCTCTCATTCATTTATTTCGTCTCCTCCATCCATCTTCCCACCAGAACCCAGCAAAAAAATTTACAGTCTGCCTGATATCGTTCTACCGCAGACAACTCTCCCGGCGGATTTGGAAGAAAGCAAATTAGGTAAAGACGTAATGAAAGTTAGGAGAAGTTCATCCATTCAGTCGCCACCAGCTGCTGGCATCAAAAGTCCGTCTGCTTCTTTGAATATCAGTCAGCAGAAACCATTTCAGGTGTTTGTTTATTGTTAGGAATTAGCGAAAGAATCTTAAATTATTTCTTTTTTGTAATGTCTATTTTGTGATTCATTAAGTGTTTTCTTTCTTCCACGTAAGATTCTGGTTATTATTAAAAAATCCTGTCAGTCATTCATTCATTCGTATGATAATTGAGCTAATAAATAACTGATTAAATCATCCTATCCATAAAGATTCCCAAGGCACTGATAGAATGGAACGCTCCACCGCTGACGACCAAGTCCATCGGACCAACAGCCATCGGATTCGAATGCGAAGCCAGCGATACAACGAAAAGTTCGCCAACATCAGACAAGACCACTAAGAAGGTTATTGACTATCGAAATGATCCCAGATACAAGAAGAAAAAGTTGAGGAGTAAAAGTGAAGAAGATAATGATAAAAGTGATACTGCTACCACCACCACTACTACTACTGCTACTAATAGCAGTAGTAGTATTGTTGATAGTAATAATGATGATAGTAGTGTGGTTAAGACTGAGGAGTGTTTAGCCTTTAAAGGTAAGGAAGTTGCGATGAACAATGGAGCTTATTACGAAGGCCGAGAAGACATAAACCATTTTCACAAACTGAAACCAACTACAACAGCAGCCCCACCAAACTCAACGGCGCCATCAACAGCAGCAACAACAACAACCCAGATAACATCATCATCATCATCACCACCACCGCCGCAGACATCATCATCATCATCGTCGTCGTCCTCACAACAACCAACGTCATCGTCGTCATCGCTTCTTCACAGCCCATCTCCACCGCTGGATTTTTTCCCGCCCATCGCCAGATACCAGCCCGAGACGTTCTACCTAGATCCGATGATGATTGATGAATACGACGATACCGATTCTAACGCTCCGTCGACACCATCTGCCGGACCATCGCTATCGAAAATCGACGAATGCTTCTACTCCCGATACATCGATCGAGAACCGTCGGTATTGTCAACCGCCTCGTCGTCGTCGTCTCTTAATGAAGCTAGCAGTGGCATCGGCGGTAGTGGTAGTAGTAGTAGTGGTGGTGGTGGTGCGACGCACATCTCTGTTCCTAACTCAATACCGTTTTTTCCGGCTGCTGAAAATGACGACGACCTAATGGATTCCTCTGTTGAAGTTAACGTTAAGGATATGTTTAAGACCATAGATCCCACTACATCGCCATTTTGTTAATGGTTTTTTTTTTAGAGAAAGAGTTGAATTTTTATTTCTTTGAATGTTCTTCCTTCGAGATGGATTTTTCTTTTCAACTGTTTGTTTCTTTTTCAATTAAGTCTAAATATTTTGTTAGCGGCTCACTTTTATATTCGTTTGTGACGTTCAAGATAGCGATGATGACGATAATGATGATGATGGTGATACTGATGGTAATAATAATAATAATAATAACAATAATGATGATTGCGACGATGGTGGTAATAGCAATGATGATGGTTCGATCGATTATTTATTTTTCTCTGTATATAAATAATTGTACATACTTGAGTTTTTGTGAAAGTTGTGCTGCACAAATTGTAGAACCTTCGTTAACTAGTACATGTATATATATATATATATATATATATATATATATATATATATATATATATATATATATATATATATATACAATATTCTATAAATTCTACCGAAAG